CTAGTAAACTGCAGAGCCAAGTTTTGATGCCAACTTAGACCATAACCTGCTACCTCATCCTATAAATAGCTATTAAGAGCTTAGTTATTTTCAAGATGTATTACCAAACTTTAAGAATTCAGATTACATTAGGGCTTGTGGGGACCCTTCATCAGCTACTCCATGGCCCTAGCTCCAAGAAAGCTAACACTCTAGAGCCTGTTAATTACCCAAGAGCTTTTGGGAAAGGCAGTCGGCTTCTGGAAGGCATGAAGTACTGCTTCGGTCCCTTTGAAGGGCCTAACAGGAAATATCTTGCTTCAGCCTAAACTGCTGAGGGACATATTCAAGTGGATGGTACTCAACAGGTTTGGAATAACACATTCCTCAAGTTCTCTGAGTTTCTGACCAACAACAACAAAAAACTTCTATAGTTAGATTTCTCTTTCCAAACATTTGCTAACAGTTATATTGGAATTAGGTAGCTTTTGTATTTGTGTATATTCCATATATACAAAAATCTTCATGGAGAGTCCATCCAGAAACTTCATGGAGGACTGCTCTTGGATATCTGGAAGACTTGTGACATCCTCAGGCTCATCCATGAATACTGACCACTGCCTGTTTGAGGGGCTGATAACCCTTCCCTGGGTGAAACCCTCTTCTACTATTCTTTTACCTTCATTGAAAGCTCCATCCACACTCTGTGAGTCCTGGCAAATGTGTCTTTTTATTAATTCTTCTCTCCTTGCCAGGACCAGCTCATCGGTGTGAGATCTGTATAGTCCCACAGGGCCCCACACTTAGGAGGACTCTGGGCTTGATTTGATGTTCTTCTGTCACCCACTTTAATAATTTTTAAATAATTTTTAAATAATTTTTTTTTTAACATGGGGCCCTACATTCTGCACCGAGCCACAAAAATCATGTGGTTGGTCCTGCTCCTTGCTAGGGAGAAGAGTCATAATGCACAAGTTTAGAGTAGGTGGTATACCTGTGCTCCCTATTTACACTCAGCAGCATTTGCTCATAAAGATAATCGATAATAGTGGATGGAGATGGAAAGAGCTCCAACCTCCTTAGCTTCAGTTTCTTCATCTCTGAAATAGAGACAGTAGCACTTACTTTTGCATGTTATTGTGAGCCCTGAGGAGATCATGTATAATAAATTCCTATCAGAATGCTGGATATATAATAGGTGCTTGCTATGAAAGATAGAAGGTATAGTAAACAGAGTTTGTCCCCTGGAGTTAGGAACTGGGTTAGACTCGTTGTGGTGATTATTTCACAATATTGAATCACTATGTTGTACATCTAAAATTAACGTAAGGTTATAGGTCAATTATATTTCAGCTAAAAAGAGAGAGAGAGAGAGAGAGAGAGAGAGAGAGAGAGAGAGAGAGAATCAAATTGGCCCTACTGCTTAAAAAGTTTTATGACCTCAGCTAGATGATTTGGCTTTTCCCAGCCTTAATTCCTTTTCCATAAAATAGAAATGCTAACATTTACCTTGTAGGGCTGTATTGGGATTTAAATAATCTAATGTAGTTTAAAAGCTGATTGTATCACCTGGGATCTAGTAGGACCTCAAAAACAACAGTTGCTAGTTTGGTTCCCTTTTAACTCTATTTCTGCACTGATACTATACACCTTCCTATAGACTATATTACCTACTAAATTTAATCTTGTATGTGAAAATAATTTTGTAAAAAATAATTGAGTATTATTTTTCTTTCTTTGCTAGACTATGAATTCCTTGAAGGCAGGGACCATGTCTTACTTACTCTTGTATCCTAAAACACTTTCTAATGTGTTAAATCTCAGTTGTATTAATTCTTTTTTTCTATGATTTATGAGAATAATGAGATGGTAATTTTCATAACATTCCTAAATTAACAATTAATATTTAGTTTGTCAATGATTAGAAGTAGAATATATCCAAAATATATTCTCTGCCATCAAAGGCCTTTTCTCCTCCTTGACTATCACACTTTGCTCATCTTTTGCACCGGTGGATCTGATTCTTGCTCCATTAATAATGCAGTTCCACCAGGGAACATTGCTTCCATCAGGGGAAGACCTTATTGAAATCCCAATAGTTGATGCCTGTTAGGATTCAAAGAGGCCTCAGAACTGTAACTTTTAACCATTGGAGGGTTATGGATCCCTCCAAGAACCTTCTGATAGTTTCTCCAGAAAAATATATTCAATATCTTGCATACAATGTCAAAGTGTCCTCAGAGCTTCCACAGTGTTTGCACCTCAGGTAAAGGATTCTTGTTACAGTAGCCTTGAAAACTCAATGAGTTTTGGGAAAAATTGAAGTTTCCTAATAAATTCAGTCCAGACTAGTCATAGTCTCATGTTCAAAACAAAACAAAACAGTTATAACTCCCTAGATTTAACCTCAGGGCTATCCCTGAGGACCCAGTCCTGAGCATTAATGGTAAGGGCGGCTAGCCAAACAGTGACTACTCTTAGGAAAACTAAATTCAGCTGAGTAAAATGAAGCCTTGTTTGATAATATTGTTTACATTTCCAAATTCTGATATTGATATCAAGCTTTCTTCCTATCCCTTGAGGCCTTTCCTAAGTTTAGCCGCTGGTGTAATGGGGTAACCATGGCAACAACCACCTGCCTATTTAAAACTATCTCCAAAGCTAAATAAGGAAGCTTTGAGAAAATGGCTGCTTGCCTGCCTCTCAGTGGACAAATCGGGCACTCCCGGGTATGTTTAATGTGAATAAGAAGGGGTTCTTAAAGAAGCAGCACGGACTCAAAGCTCTTAATAGAAAGTGTTCTGGGACCTTGTGAAACAGGACCTACCTCTACTACAATGTCTTCACGTATTAGCAGGCACATGGATTTGCATGCAAATCCCTATGCCTGTCATTCTAGGTGATCACACTACCTTGACCTCAATCAGGTGAAAGGTGAGGCATGTACCTAACCAGGAAGGAAAAACAGTCATTCAGAGAGCAGTGAATTTGTTCATACTTTGCATTGAAATGTATAATTATAACATTTTCTGACAGAGGTATCTTTCTCATTGTGTTCAACCATGTGAGTGATTGATGTTTGCTCTGTTTATGTCATATGTTGACCTATGGGTCTTTGGACTATAGAGGCATGTCTCCCTCCCTGTGCTTCCTTGCTTTCTACCAGCTACAGAGGTTTCACTTTTTCCTGAGCCAAGAGGCCACACGACTGATCACACTGCACAGCTTGCTCTTCCCTAAACATGCCGCATTCTTGTATTTCTTTGTATCCATGTATCCGTGTTCAGCTTCTTCTCCTTGGGTTGTCCCTCTCTTTTTTTGTTAACTTAGAAAACACACACTTGTTTTCTGTGTCTTGGTTTGGGCATCTCTGTAGTTGGAAAGCCCTCCACACCAAGTTCGATGCCCTTGCTTTGTGCTCCCATAGGTCACCTGGATCCATGACATTTAACGCTCAACTCATGAACATCTGCCTTCTAGTCTGTCTCCACCAGAGGACTGAGAGCCCCTCTCCCCTCACATGCTTATTCAAATGACTTCTAGAACAGCACCTGGAATGTGATATGTTTTCAATGGATAAATGAATAAACAGAAGCCCCATAGATCTCACAAGCATGTGGCATCCTAACAAGCATGTGTGTATGAGTATGTATAAAGGTACCTGCATGAGAAGAGGACCATAAAAGTTTGGACTGGATGGAAGAGAAGTACTTAAAAAAAAAAAGTGATTTTGTATATATATATGAGAGTGGAAAAGATTGTGAGAAGACAGTCATCTGATCTGTAAGTCTGTGACTATAATAGGAGTAGGAGCTGAAAATATACCTGTTGATAGTGTTTTGTGAGTGTGCACAGTCTGTGCATGTGCAGGCAACGGAATATGCCTGTGACAGAATACACACCCTAAGGAGATTAGTTCAGCTACTATTAGATGCCACACATTAATGTTCCTGATGTTGAAGTAGCTTCAGTTTCTGATCTCTAAAAAAGACTTTCTTCTTTCTGATTAACTTCCCAGACTGTGGGGTTAAGGGGAAGGAGTAGGAACGAAAATGATGGCGCTTTTCAGGAATGGGCTTTAAAGGAATGTCTTCAGATAACACCAGACCACTGCGTTCAAGAGAACCCTGAGGGCTAAACTCAGCCCATCCAGCTCAGGGTGAGTCCTTCTTCCCCACCTGTCTGAGGGCAGAGTGGGGCCCAGAGGTCGTCTTGAAATGGTACAACTCGGAGGAAAGTAACACGATGGAAATTAACTAACGTGAAGAAAATAAAAGAAAGAAGGGAAAAAGGTAATGTATCAATCCCAGGAATAGCTATATGCCAGTCAACCACTCACTTCTTGAAAATCCCTCCCGCCAGCAAGGAGGGTTTGCTTTTATTTGCAAATGATCTTTTTTTATTCTTATTTTCATTTTTGGATCCCTTACTCAGGGTGTGAAGGCTGAGGCTGGGATCTGGTGGGCTCTGCCCCCCACCCCCCACGCCCTTGCAGGGCCTCCCACTGCTGCCCTCTGCTGGCAGGGGAGGCGGAGGCGACGCCCTCTCCGAAGCCTGGAGCTGCTACCCCCTCGCCTTTAAGACAGAAAGAAGCTAAGGCCCCTGCCTGCCCCTCGCCTGTCCCCCTCCCCAGAGGAATCGTGGCGGCTAGGGGTGGGGGTAAGGGTGGCACTTTTGGAGAAAGCGGACAGCTGAGCCCCAGGAGGGCTCCACTTAGCCAGGAACAGGCTCCACTCCTCGTGGCTGGGCAACACTCCCTCCCTCCCCGCACCCCACCCGCCCCATGCCACCCCATTTCTCCCTCCGCACATCATCTGCTGGGAGGGGACAGGAGCTAGGCTGCCGCAGGTCTCTGACCTGTTTTCTGTTTGGAAATGGAACCCCTCCTTCCGGCAACGTGACAGGAAAGTGAAGTCCCTGGGCAGCCGGGCCAAGAACCCCGGGGTGAGCGAGAGCAGGTGGAGACCGGGCTCCGCGCGGGGCGGGGCTGGGGCCGCGCTGCAGCCCACAGGCCCTCTTACCTGCTGTTGAATTTCTCAGGGTGCTTCTCTCTCATCACGTGGAATCTGTGTGCAATGGAAGCATCCTGAAAGGGAAAGAGACAGAAAGCAGGTCCCTGGTTAGTGGTCATGGCAGGTACGAGGTGGACAGAAGAGAAGCACAGGTTCTCACTGGAACCCCCCAACTTTGGGGGAGAACAGCAGGTCCCAGGGTAGGGGATAGTACCCCCCATGGGCGTAGACTTCTTGCAGTATTCCCCTCTGCCCAGCCATAGTTCAGGGTGAGCGAAGGGGATAGCCACTGCTTTTTTTTTTTCTTCTTCTTTTTAAAAAATATATTTTATTGATCTTTTACAGAGAGATAGGGAGAGAGGGATAGAAAGCTAGAAACATCGATCAGCTGCCTCCTGTATACTCGGGATTTGCCTGCAAACCAATGTACATGCCCTTGACCGGAATTGAACCTGGGACCTTTCAGTCCGCAGGCTAACACTCTATCCACTGAGCCACACCGGTTTCGGCAAGCCACTGCTTTTTGAGAAGAGAGAGGGGGTCTGGGTCTGTGAGCAGTGAGAGAGAGAGAGTGTGTGTGTGTGTGTGTGTGTGTGTGTGTGTGTGTACTGAGGGCAAGCCTCTGGGCATATCTTGCCATATCTTTTAAAACAATACTTTTTATTTCAGAATATTTTTAAGACTCACAAGAAGTTGCAAAAATAGTACAGTGAGTTCCTGTGTCCCTTCCCCCCAGCTTTCCCCAGTGATAACGTCTTACATAACTATCAGGCATTATCAAAACCAGAAAACTGATGTTGGCAGATGCTCTGATATATTAACTCTTAGCCATTCCTAATAGTAGAAATAATTGTAGCGTTGGGTAACATGCTTAATAGATTTTTTAAAAATCTGTAAACTTCTGGCTTCTGCTTCTTGATTGCTCTTGGAAATAGCTTGCCCTAAGGTCAGTCAGAGTCAGAAGTGCCATCCTACGGGCACTTTGCTGCCCTCCTCTCAGCACATCCCTTTGTTGCATTCCTGGCCACCTTCTCCTCAGAAGTCACAGAGAGGATGGCTCCCCTGGCACATGCTTCTGGGCTCTCCATCCTCGGATCAGAACTTCTTAGCCCTGAGCCCAATCTGTAGCCCACACTGCATCTCGCATTCTCCTGGTTGTTACTAGCATCTAGATACTGTCCCTAGTATATCCCTAGCACCAACCCTGAGCTTCAGACCTGAAAATGAACTCATCTTTCCTCCCCAGACTTGGTCTTTCACCTTTGTGAATAGTCTGGTTTTCCAGGAGAAGACTTCATAACACCCTTTTACCCCCCTCAGCCCCAAGGCACACGCCAGCACTTTAGGTGCAGTTGATGGACTACAAAATATATGAGTTCATTTGGCTGGGGTTGGAGGAGTGACCAAAAATAAGAGAGCTGATTCAGATCTGTTCAGGGGGAAAAGAAAGACATTTATTTACTGTAATACGTGGCTAAAAGAGAACTGAAATGTCATACAGTGGATTTTCAGCTCGTGTATATTAATTCTGGCTCTTAATATAGAAACTTTATATTAAAAATTATTTAAAATTTTTTTTAACATAAGGAGATATAGTACAGCAAAGAGGCATTTTTTGAGCATGTGCTGGTGAGTAAAATACAAGTTAAAGGTGGGGACCGAAAGTCTAGGGGGCCAAGAAGAGCTTTTGTGATATTTACACTTAGCAGAGGAGTGAAGCCAGCTAGCAGCCCACTACTGAAAAGGGAAAGTCAAGGATATGGGCTTATTTTGTGTTGGCAAACACTCCTTGCTGAAATCATGTTTGTAAAATGTTACATTTAAACTAGGTATTGGTTTAGTTTTTAGTTTAAGACACATCAGGAGCTGAAGGTCTTGGCTAGGCAGGCACCCAGTGGACACACAGTGGGAGATGCACAAGCCCCAGAGGCCTCTGTCCCCTGGGCCTATGCAGCCTGCTCAGCTCTCCTGCAGCTGCGCTTCAGGCTGATAGACTGTGCACCCCACCCTCTCCCTGAGCAAGTTTCGGTGAACACTCTGAACCGAACTCACTGACATCTGTCAAATGCTTCTCTAGAATTCAAGAACATATCCCATCTGCTTGTGTTCCTTTGAGGCACCAATTTTCTTCTGTCAGAAAAAAAAGAAAAGAAAAAAGCAATCACGTGTTGCCTGGCATGATTTGTACTCCATGATTCCTTGTCCCCAAAGCTGCTGCGACTGGCTTCTGGTCTTTTTATTCTCTGGGACATGTGCACAGACCCCTCCCGCTGTGTAGTTCTGATTATCCTTGGTTTTTCATAACTAGGTTTTGCAAAACTTCTTTTTCACAAAGACCAGCTTTTACAACATTATTAGTCAAGCACGTGGGCCTAATCTGACAGTGCAATTCCTTGGTAAATGCACAACGTGGCAAAGGAGAGCTGAGCAGTTCCTTTGCTGTTCAGTCTCAAAAAGGCAATGCAGGCCAAGGCACTGATCATGTTTTTCTACCTGGGGATAAAAAAAGAGAGCCAAGATTCACTTTTACCCTCAGTTGAGCTTCTCTCTGTCAAGTACTGAGCTGGCTGTCCTTAAACTCAGTCGTGATTTCATTTACATTTTGAAAACCAGTGCTACCCCTTTTTGGTATTTATTACAGCAAAAGGAGAATTCTGTTCTGAAGGGAGGGGGTGGTAGATGGGAATTGCAAGCCTGCGGATGTGATGATGACATTTCTGATGGCCTCGCTCTCTGGGGTGCTTTCTATCAAGTGTGGGGTAAAGGCAAGATGACAGCGGTGAGGACCTGTGGCTACTCTTTCTTGGACTAAAACTCCAATCGCACAGCTGGACAAAATATTTTTGTGCCCCTTCCAGATCTAAGCAGCAGTGTTTGAACTCTGAAATGCTGGGATGTCTAGGCCAGTGATGAACAGTAGAAATAAATTTAAATTTTTTTTTCTAGTCACATTAAAAAAATGAAAGGAGAGGAAATTAACTTTAATAATATATTTTAATTAACAAATGCTATCCTTATAACATGTAACTAATATAAATATTATAGCAATATTTAAAATTCTTTCCTTCATATCACATTTTTGAAAATTAGTCTGTATTTTACATTTACAGCATCTCTTAATTTAGATTAGTCCAATTTCAATTACACAATAGCCATGTGTGGCTAATAGCTACTATATTGGACAATGCATTTCTACACCAATTTAACAATTTATGGAGATAAAAAGAAAGGAGACAAAAAAAAACAGGTTATTTGAAGTTTGGATTGTCCTGAAAATTTCTGGCATATTGGGGGGTTAAAAAGAGTGGCGAACTCTTGTCCAAGACACCTTTCAGTGTGTCCCATTGTTTTAGTATCTTCACGGTTCTCACAGGTGACAGACAAAAACCTAAGGATAAGGGAGTCCAGCGATGCAGGGACAATGATGATTTAAAAAAATATATAAATTCCCTAATGGGTAGAGGTGTACCATTGTGGAAACTTGGCTGGTAAAGTCTGATAAGTCCAGTCTGTAAGGTGGAGAATGGCACATGGGTTAGTGTGATGACTGGGGCATTTCCTTGCCCTCTGGGGCCCCCCAGCATCAGAAATAGATCTCATTGAATCAAGGGATTAGCTGTTCACTCAGCAGAGCCTTTGAGGCATACAGAGCTACACATGCCCCGGGAATTACTTCAGTCTCCAAACTTCCTGTCACTGATACCTGGCCATCCTGACATTTTTGCCAATCCAAAAATAAAGAGCAGAGACGAGAAGGGCAGAGAAGCCAGAGGAAGTAGCGTCCTGAATGACTATGTTTAAAATCTCCTGCCAATGGATGTTATCAGAGGGACTGAAAAGTCAACTATCTCCACGCTTCACCAATGGGAGCTGGCATGTATGTGGGTGATGGGAATGCAGTGACAATGAGGCCACAGTCACTCCTTGCTTAGCCCAGGAGCATTTTCCCAGCCCCTCCATCTATTAAATAGGTTTTTATGGTAACGAGGGGGCCAGTGAACCGTCAGGGCAAGTTCTTTACCACCTATGGGCTCATAGCAGCGGTCACTGTCATCACCTTTGTAAGTGTAAGGCAGCAGACATTTGATATCAACAGTTATTCCAAGTCCTTCAAAAGAGCCAAAGACTTTGCACGGCTCTCTTTGCCAAAGGAGTCCGACTCTAATCATCATAGGAAGTAAAACCGTGGGTGGGTTTACATACCTACTTCTCGTCTTACAAAGTCTGGGAAGTCAAACAGGGAGCAAGAGCTTCTGCAAATGTCAGGCCCAGATTCTGTTAGGGTTGTGTCTTGGCTACTTGTTTTCTCAAGAATTTCCCTTTCCAGTTTTTAAAGAGCGAGCACACAAACCCTGCAAACATTTTATTGCAAGAAGGCTAAAGACACACCAAGGAGGGGGAAAAAAAAAAAAAAAAAAAAAAAGCAGCCCTGGTTCCTCACTGCTTCACCATAAAATATTAAATATGCACAAACTAAAGATGGTTGGAGGGATTATAAGGAAAGAGGCTGTGAAGTTCTTCATAATTTGAAGGATGAACAGATTGGATTATTGTAAGCCAGCCCAGGGCAAATAAATAGCTTGACCACAGAGTGTGATGAAGAATCTGTTTTCATGCATTTCCTTGGGGGACAATTAGCTGGCCTTCTTCCCTCCCGTCCCAGTTTATTTGCAATAATGAAATAAAATCATGATCAGTGTTGGCTCTGGGGATTAGGCTTAGTTATCTAGTTGAGAGGAGGTTGTCTATTCTCTTTTATTGTGTCCAACGAAATGTTAGCTAATACTGAGTGCATGTCACCCCTCCCCATTTTGCATATGGCACTGTGTAGAGACAGGCAGGGGGTATTTTTGACAACTAGAGCCAGGGTGTGTTAAGAGAGAAGATTTGGGGTTGAAGGCAGGTCACTTGTCCTGTGGCTCAGCTCTCACTTCTGGCTAGTTGCTTATAGGTGCTGGTTTTCCCCACCTGTCTTTTCTCTCCTTTATTTCAGCTCTAGTTTCTGCTCCTTAAAGAACTACTTCCTTTGACCATTCTCTGCCACAATGAATAGTCTTCACTCACTGAAGACTTCCTAGGGACCATTTATATCAGCATTATCTCAGGGGCTTGTTAAGAATACAAATTTCCAGACTTTGTCCAGACCAACTGAATCATTGTAAGGAAGTAAAACTGTGGGTTGGAGTGGAATCAGGATCTGTCAGGGAGTAGAATTTGAATTTCTGACAAGGGACATAGGTGAATCAGCAAACACTAAATTTTTAATCATCTACATCCCCCTACCCAGATGCTGCCGGTTTGGTGGCATGAAGACAAAGGGGTTTTTGCAGTGGCTGCAGGACTCATGGTTCACAGCTCAGTGGGCTCTTGGATCCAGGCAGTACTGGCTCCTGGCTCCAGCACTCTGTATCTTTCTAAGCTGTAGCTCCTTCTTACAAAATACAAAAGAATAATGACAATATTTACCAACCGGGAAACTATGTTTAGCGTGCAGTAAATACCCAATAAATGTGAGCAAGTTATATTCTAGTTGTTATGGGAAAAGACTTGAGTTTTTGTGAAAAGGTAATGATGGGAAGCTCCCTTGATGCCAAATCTGCCAGTCATGTCTGATTTGTAGGGGGTGGAGATTGCATGTTCCCATTGTGGGAAGTGGAGCCTAAGCAGGTGGTCTGAAAAGGAAAGGGGCCTTTGAGCCAAGAAGAGGAAGGAGGAGTCTACCAAGGTCACTGGAGAGGAGTGCTGGAAAAGGCCTAGGGAATGATGTCTTCCCCACCTGACACCAAGGGAGCTGGGGAGATAAACAAAGAGACCCCTGAATTTACTTCTGGTCCAATACCTCCATCCTCTCAGAACCTGACTGTGGGCCCAGCAATGCCTCTCTGCTGTTTTAGTAGTAGAAAAAGAGTGCTGGATTAGGAGTCAAAAAAAAGAAGGCAAATCCCTTAATTTGTCTCTGTTTCCTCACCTGTGAAATGGAGATACTATTGCCATTCAGTGCAGTCATAAGAATCAAGAAAATATCTGTACTTATGGAAAATTATAAATTCTATAAATCTAAAGTATTATTATTAGCAGTAATTCTTTCTGCTTCCATGGTTCTCTTTCTACTCTTCTTATTAAAAAACAAAATCCTTTCCTTAAACCTGCTCTTGCATAGTGTCTTTATAATTTCCTCTTCTTTCTCTCTCTTTTTAACCACCAAAATATTGTCAAAAGAGGCACAGGTAAGATGGTTGAGGAATGCAGATACCACACAGTTGGGGTCTGGAGGAACTCAAATACATATGGAGCTGGACAGCATAATTCCAAGACAGGGACACTGAGGAACGAGCCTGGCTTCGGAATGGGGCACAGGATGTATGTGCTAGCTCTGCCCTCTCTGAAGACTAGAATACATAAAGTCTGTCACAGTGGAGAGCACAGAGTAGGAGCTCAGTAAATGCTACTGTCTTTGTTGCACCTGCCTCCCAAACCCCAGCTCTATTTTTGGCAGTGTTGGATCCATTTTCTCTCCCATCCTGTCCCCAACAGTTTGGGAAGCAATGTCCATCCAATCCTCTTTGGATCAGAAGTTGAGTTAATTAACATAGCATAACTGTGCTGCATTAGATGTGCTGGGGGCTGCAGGAAGAAAAAGAAATGTGGCACTACGTGTGTGTGAGTGTGTGTGTGTGTGTGTGTGTGTTGGCAGGGGGGGGGGGAGATGGGCACACTCAACCAAGTCTTTCAACCTAATGCAGCGAGTGCAATGATGGGATAAGTACAGAGGGCTGTGAGAGCACCAAGAAGGAGCACAGAGCTCAGCCGGAGGGGTTAGCCAGGGGAGAAGCCACAGAGATTTATGAGCACTTGGAACGTGGGGAATGGGGTTGGGATGAGAGGAGAAAACAGGAGAGAAGGAATTCTGAGAGCTAAGCCAGTCAAGCTGCTTGGACCCACACAGTCCTCCCTGAAAGCAGAGTTACACCTCTGGAAGCTTGTGTGAGAGTCTCCTGACCTCACACCTCTTGATTATTTCTTGGTGTTGCTTTTCTTTAACTGCTTCAAATTATCCAAAGGGTAAATATGTCTTCTGAAAAATGTCCTGTCTTTTCTTCAGGTAGTTAAAATTATTGGAGAAGGTGTTTCCTATATACCAAGGATGAGGACTTGGTACAGCTAAGGTGTCCAGATGTGAGGATGCTTGGACAAAACTCAAGGCTGGAGGCAGCCAGGAGAAGTAAAGAGTAGGTGAGACCAGGCGGGGTGGGTGAGGGGTGGGGACATTAATGGACCAGAACCTTTCCTGCCTGCCCAAGCATTTCTCTTCCATGCAGAAAGGCAATCCATGGCCAACTCACCACACCAATGGAGAAGTAGTTGTTCATGATGTCATACGGGACCTGGTCCCCATTCTCCACCTCCTCTCTGGGGATGACTTCCAGGTGCCAGCGATCCAGCATCACCAAGGGGCTCTGCTCAATTTCCTTCAGGATTTTTGTCAGGCTTCCCCCTTCATACCCTGTGGAGAATAACACTGCATTTGTTCCAAAGCAGAAGCAAAGTTGTCACTGATTTACAGGCAGCTTAGAGCAGGGACTCCTGTGGGCATCTGAGACCTGGAGTCCCCCAATGTGCCTGCAGGCCAGAGACACTTAGGTTCTCTGAGCCACAGAGAAGGAGAGGGCAACTTGGAGCAATTAGAAAGAAGCTGGGGCAATCTGAAAGCCAGAGCAGCAGGCGAGGAGGGGGGCTGGCCAAAAGTGGGCAGGCTGTGTTGCCGAAGCAAGCCCTGGAGACTTGGTGGGCGGTGTGGCTGGGAAGCTGCATATGGGAGAAGGAAGGACTCATTTCCAGATTATGTCATGTTAGAGAGGGACAGTGTGGTAGACAGGATTTTAAGATGACTTCCTTCACCCCTGCCGATTCCTGCCTGCCCTAGGTCCCATGAATAAGAGGCAATTAGATACATAATGTGAAACAGTTGACTTTGAGAAAGGGAGAGTATCCTGGGTGGAGCTGATCTAATTGGAGGAGTCTTCAGAAAGGACTGGTCTTTTCTTAAGAAATAGATTTGAAGCTTGAGAGAGATTCTACATGGGGAATATTCTCTATTGCCAGCTTTGAAGATGGAAAGACCTCATCTGGCAAGTCATGAGGGAGGCCTCCTGCCTCTGACAGTGGACCCGGCAGACAACCAGGAAGGAAACAGGTCCCTAATCCTACAATCACAGAGAACTGAATTCAGCCAAACACCTGAGTGAGCTTGGAAGCCAATTCTCCCGGAAGCTTTAGTGAGACCAGGTTTCAGCCTGTGAGGGCCTGTGCTAGGGCTTCTGGTTGGGAGCTAAAATGGGTGTTTTAAGCCTCTATGTTATGATAATTTGTTATGTAGCAATAGAAAACTAACATAGAATGTGTATCATAAGTAGTGAGGGGTTAGTGGGAGAGACAGTCTTTTCTTTCAAATAACACTTCTATGTTCCTGCTTACTTTTGGGGCAACCTTGAGGAGTATTTTCAAGTTGTGAGGGGTTTGGTCAGCAACTTGGGGGATGGCCTATAAGATAGCAATGGTAGCAGCTATATAGCAGAAGGCCTTAAAACTATCTGGGAGTGCAGGCGGGGTTTCCTGCATGAAATTGGTGCCTGTCACTGCTGCCTAGTGCTCACAGTGTGGGGCCACCCTCTGCCTGTCCCTCTGAACAGAGGGTTCTTTTCTAGCCTCAGTGTGACTGAGGACCCTGGTAGCTAGCTCTTCCAGTGCTTGCCAACTTTCTGCTAGGCTGTATCTCACTTGTTCTGCCCCCAAGCAATGCACCAGCCTCTGAACACTGACCGCTGCCTGGCCTGGTTTTGAATTGCTCTCTGAATTGATCAGCCGTCTTCAGTCTCACTCTAATCCTGGCTGTCAGACTGATCTGTGGGCTCCTTGGGTTGATCTGAACTTCTGCACTTTCTGGAGCATGCCCAGCTCCACCAGGAGTTGTAGTAGTTTGCGAAGTTCTCAACTTAGTTCCTGCTATTGCTTTGTAAGCTGGTTACCACTTTGAGTTCTCTCTTCTGAAATATTCAAAATGAGGGTCCATGGCTGTTGGGAGTGGGGGTAGATAATCAAGATGCCTTCAATTTGCCAATGATATGGCCTTTCAGTCTGTATTCTGAGTCCTAATTCAGAAGAAGATCCTTAATTTGGGAAAGGGGAATTTTATGTAGAAAATACCTGTCTAAGCGAGCCCTTACTATGATGAGAACTGGGAAGGAGACGTTACCTTAAAGTTGACTTGTCCTACTGGGAAAGGCAGGCAGTAAGTAGATAGTTTCAGGATGACAGGAAATATAGTTATTGGGTAAGCATATGCCTGCAATGCAGGGCAGGGAAACAGCCATGAAGTCTATCTGACCCCAGAGCTGAGTATTAGTCTGTGGAATGTGATCCCTGAAAGGAAAGTTCAGCCTAACTCTGTGGAGCATCCCTATCAATTGGAAAGCTTGACCCCAAAGGAGTGCCACTCACAGGTAGACTCACCTCCTCCCCAGCGGAGACATCGGGCCAGGTCATTTCCTGTTCCAAGAGGCAGGACAGCCACTGGTGGATGCTTTGTGAAGTTGGCTTTGTCTGCAACCCATGAAGAAGATGAGAGAACCATATGCCATGGGATTACAGAATGTCCGAGTTATCTAGTTATCCATGACCTGATACTTGAACCCCTCCCTAGCATTCTTTGCTAGAATGCCCCCATGATGGGGAACACACTACTTGCTAAAGTAATCTCCATCTGCAGTGTGTAGACCACTACAAAGGGTTTTCTCATAGTGAACGAAATCTGTCTCCTTGTAACTTGCATCTCTTCATCCTAATTTCACCCCAATCCTTTCCTATGGGGTGAAAGCAACCTCAAAAATCATTACTGTAGTTTGTGCAACTTTAATCCTTAGTGATAACCAGCCTTTGTTACATTTATCCCTCAGACCAACCCTGCAGGTTGTCATAAATGAAGAAATTGAGGAAGAGAGAGAGAAAGTAATTCCAGAGCCAAAATCCAAACCCGGAGCTCTAGAGCTCCAAACATGTTCCTCCTTTCTTCAAGGCCTAGGCAGGTGCATAGACAGTAGCAAAGGTGGGTTTGAGACATCAGGGAATGGTGAGGCATTTGGAAAACTTCAGATGTCTAACAGCATTGTTTAAACAGCATTGTGTCTAACAGAAAAACGCCAGTTTCATTTGGCACCCAGGTAGCAGTTTGCCACTTTCACCTCCTCCCAGACTTGCAAGTACACAGATTCCTAAATTTAGTTTCCATGCTGGTGTGAAGCAGCATCAGACCAAACCATTAGAGAAAGCACAGGAGATCATGTATGCTTTAATCTGGCTGAAGATCTACAGAAGTTTATGTTAGCCGATTAAGAAAGTTGAAAGAGGCACAGACACCCATTGGGCTCAAGGGGGTTTCTATTTACATAAACTCAGTTCACCTAGTGCCAGGGACCATGAATTATATTATGGGGGAGTGTTGTAGGGGTTTGGGATGCTACAGGAATCAGCATCCTACATGAGGCTCATACTAGGGTTGCCCCAGCAAAACAGGAGTTCATAGGTCCTCTGGCTTGTCTGACTTGTGCCAGAAGTGGCTGAGTTCTGGCAAAAACCAGGGCTGAGATTATAAGTGGGAGGGTTAAGATGGAGGATGGAGTAAAGCAATGGACTTTTTCATTGTTCCCAGAACCCATAGTCAGTGTTTGTGCCTCCCTACCTTTGCACATTCTGTTCCATTTGCCTGGAAGACCCTTGTTTCCTTAGATCTGCTCTTTCTTCTGTAATCAATCATCTTCACAGTTTGGAGGCTAGAAGGCTGGATGCCATCCTAGGTTTCCCCTCTCCCCCATCCCACATTTATTCACTCATCAAGTTCTTAATAGATCTCCAAGCAATCTTTTCTCTCCATCCCCATAGTGATGCCTGAGTTCAGGTATGATATGATTCCTTCCTACTGGTATGGGTTGGAACTGTCTCCTCTTGGCCCTCTCAGCCTCCAGTCCCACCCCCTCATGTGTTCTCTACACTTTCACCAAGGTTTGCAATATTTGAACCACAAGGCTTATCACATTAGTCCATTGCTTTCACACTGTTGGGGGGGCTCCCCTCACCCCTTAGCATGGCACACTAGTCCCTTCCAGGCTCTGCCTTCCTCTCTAGTCTCATCTTTTTTTTTTTTTTTTTTTAATATATTTTATTGATTTTTTTACAGAGAAGAAGGGAGATAGATAGAGAGTTAGAAACATCAATTAACTGCCTCCTGTACACCCCCCACTGGGGATGTGCCTGCAACCAAGGTACATGCCCTTGACCGGAATCGAATCTAGGGCCTTTGAGCCAAACCGGTTTCAGCTAGCCTCATCTCTTACCCCTCCGACCTTCCATCCAACATGTCAACCACATCTTAATGGTTTCAGTGCCTTAAATAACAAGTGCTATGTTGCTCATCTCAAATTCTACCTCTGGGAGTTTCTTTCTGGTGGCCCTAGTCTGGACTAGGTGCCGCTCTAGAATGTTTCTTTAGCACTAGAAAAAATCTCATCCCAGTGTCTTGTAATTGACTATTCATTTGTTCCCTGAATGTACTGTAACCTACTGGGAACTATATCTCATTCACCACAGTATCTCCACACATATTGCTGAAGGCCTATTATGTACTATCGCTCTAACAGCAGGTAAAAAACCCATGACTTAGGCTATAATGGTAGTCAAAGGGAAGAGACAGATATTAATGAGGTCTTCCCATAAATTTCAAATTTATACTGAAGATGAAAGGAGTGTGGTCCTGCAATAAGGTGACAGTGGCTGGGAATATGTAAGGAAAGGGGAAGCCACTCTTTAGCTGAGATTTGAAGTGTAGAAAATGACCAGCAAAGACCAAGGGAGCATACCAGACAGGAGGAACAACTCATGCAAAAGGCCTGTGGTGGAAGGGGTGGGTCTATCCAAGGGTCTGAGAAAGGAACTGTGTGGCTTGAATCTAGAGGGAGAAGGGTGGAGGTATAAGGCTGGAAAGGTGGTCAACTGCTAGACCATGCATATTTCTGTAGATCATTTGAAGAGTTTTCATATTTGTCTTAAGAATAATGAGAAGCCATTTATGTGCTTCACCTGCATCATGAGCCCATTGACATTTGGGCTATAGAGAGAGAACAGATCAGGGAGGGGACCAACTGGGGGTGGTAGAGAGCACTGAATAATTGCTTCAATATTCAATGAATGAATGAGTGAATGAACACTGTGCCATTATTCCTCTTACCACTGTTTTTTTCTCCTTGACCCACTAACTTGTAAAAGCAGATAATCTCACATGACCTTCTTTCTTTCTAACACCTGTATCCTCTGCAGATGAATTTTATAAAACTTTTCACCAAAGCCTACTTTTTCCTTCATGATGGAGAGGAAACCATGCAATCAGTTCTCAGTACTGCAGCCATCCACCCTCTGCTGATCAGATTTTCCTTCCTGGCTCCCAGGGGACGCCTCCCTCCTCCCACAAACAGCTAAAGCCGGAGGTGACAGGAGAGTGTGGGTGGCTGCTTGGCAGGGCTGTTTCTATGGTAACCAAAGTGCCAGTGAGGGAGTCAAAAGCAGCAGGTGTGCAGGTGCTGGTCCTGCTCCTCCAGGTGGTCAGCTTATGACCCCTGGAGGCCAGCCTGCCCTGCCCTGTTCAAGGTCCATTATGGCTGATCCTTGGTTCTGCTCTTGTCCTCATTTCCCACATCCAGTCTGTCAGCAAATCCTGCTGGCTCTACCTTCAAAAGATATCCAAAATCTAATATAAAGTTATTTGTAATTTTATTTTTTTTCCATTTAGAAGCTTAAATGGAATGGGCATTATAGTGAAACTTTTCAAAATAAGGTACCCAGCTAGATTTGGCAGTGCAACCATTTAGTGTACCAAGAAAATGTTCCAGTTGCAGTCTCCCCATCACCTGTTTCTGCTATGGTCCAAACCATGGTCACCTCTCACTTGGGTGACTGCAGGAGCCTCAAAACTGCTCTTCCCTCGGGCTCACCCCTGACCAAGTCCCCATGCAAATATCATCTGCTCTGAGAGGTCTTCCCTGACCACCAGGATTTCAATCGCAGCCCTCACTCCACAGCTGTGTTCCCTTTGCCCCCGCTTTGCTGTATATATATTTTTATCACCTTCTGATATATGTTTCACTTACTTCTTTGTTTATTGCTTATGTCTTCCCTTTAGAAGGAAAGCTCCTTGAAGGTGGGATTTTTGTTTGTTTATTCATTGTCTCAAGGAGAACTTGGCACAGGAGGTAAACAGACAATATTTGTGGAATGAATGACAGGAAGAAAGAAGCAGCCCAAGGCTTTTCACTCTTGGCCCAGTCTTGGTCTTGAATGATGGCTCTCCCAAGCTCTTCCCTTACCCGTTCTTATGTTCCACATTTCAGTATTTATCTAGGTTTTCCAGGGTTAGATATCAAATATGCTCTTGTCCCATGATTTGAGTAAGTCTCCATTATGTATTGGGGGTCATGTGTCCAAGGACCATAGATCAGGCAGAGCTGGATTAGAAACTCTAATTTCCAGCCTGGGCTCTCACCACTGCCCCTCTGATGTAGGTGTGTTGGACACAGCCCAACGTGGCCTTTCTTTGCTTGCATTTGTCTGCACTTTATAGATGTGCTTTCTGAGCTTCCCAGGAGTGAGCCATGCAGATACTTGAGGGAAGAGCAGTTTTGAGGCTCCTGCAGTCACCCAAATGAGAGGTGATCATGGTTTGGACCATAGCAGAAACAGGTGATGGGGAGACTGCAGCTGGAACATTTTCTTGGTACACTAAGTGGTTACACTGCTAAATCTAGCTGGGTACCTTATTCTGAAAAGTTTCACTGTAATGCCATTCCATTTAAGCTTCTAAATGGAAAAATGAACTCCTGGTACTCCTATCAAGGTGAATTGCCCTAGAATATGTATCTATACTTAGTTATTTTGCCTTTATCCACAATCTTGGCTCTGCCTGGAGTTTCAAACCTACTCCTTTCCCTCCCTTCCTCCCCTCCCGACCATCCAATCTGGCCTGTCTTGCCATTGCTCAAACCCAGGCCATGACAGATTTTTTGAGATAAGGCCTGAAATAAACCAATCCATTTGTACCTGTGGAAATCCTTCCATGGTCTTATTTCTTTGTTTTTCCACCCAAAGTAGATATTTAGTCAAGCATTGGTCCAAGAGTGGAAGCAAGGATGAACAGGGTATGGTTTCATTTCTTTCTTTTTTTATTGCCTTCTTCAGACTTTAAATATACTTACTATAAGTAAACTGTGAAAGCCCTTCCATCCCATTCTTACCAATGCAATCCAAAATCCAGCCAACTGTCCCATCTCCTCCGCAGGCCAAGACACGGAAATCTGGAGTATCCCGGAAAAAGTTCAGTCTGGGAAGTAGAAGAAAGGCCCAAATGGTCTTGTTTGCTAGGTTGTGGCTGACTTTTGACACTGCTTGAGATGGAGTGCCTCCACCCCCACCCCTTTCCCTGGTAGTATGTTATAATCTTGATTCCTTTTGGGGTTGAGAGGGTCACTTAATATTCTGAAATCAGAACTTACTCAGCAATACCATTGAGTATGAATCTCAGGGGCCATCCTTGTATAAGGAGACTCTGACTCAACATTCAACACAGAAAATGTTGTGGGTCCCCCCCCCCCCCCCATTCTCTATTATTTGTGCAGAGGAATCCATATTTTGCTTATTTTAGCAATAGTACAACTAACCCCTAACACTTTGATTCCCCTTTAGCTCTACTGCCTGCTCTGTCTCCACAACTGCCCCTTCAAATCAGATGCACTCAACTAGCTACATCTTTATCTAGCTCTCTTGTGGGTTCAGACCTAAGTGCAATGAGCATCACCCCTTGGGGGACTTGACCCTTCAGAGTAGGGCTGTTAACCCGAAGTCAATGTATTTCCAAGGGGTCTGTTGATAGAATCCAGAGGACTATGAACTTGGAGATAAAAATGTCACATTCTTATCTTTCCTAAGCTCTTACTGAAATTTAGCATTTCCTTCTCTTGTGAGTGTAGGCGACAAATCACAGACGGATTACCAATACCCATGCCTTTGTCAGGTGTCAAAATCACAAGTGTCTTAATGTTTTGCTACAGTAAAGGCAGATATCTCATACTACCATTCATACACATTACTGCTTCTAATTTACAATAGCTATTAGATCTGCCTCTGGAATTTGCTACATATTCCCATATCACACATTTGTTTTCTTAACATTTTGATAACTATTTTCAATAGAATTCATTTCTCTGATTATATATTTAAAATATTAGTCTGAGAAGGGGTTTACAGGCTTTGTCAGACTGCAAAACAGGTTCCTGGTACAGAAAGATTAAGAAGCTTTGTTTCAGAGCAAAGGTGTGGACACCTTGGGGTGGGACTTGGAAAGCAGAAGCTCAGTGTTTCCTTCTTGCCCAACCTGATGGTCCAAGAAGATCCTTGGGCTTACTGAATCACTGATGCAGGTATGGGCAAACTCACATTCTATTTTCTATTATTTGTGCAGAGGAATCCATATTTTGCTCATTTTTTGCAACAGTACAACTAACCCTCTCTTCCCCTTCCTTCCCTGCTCTCCTCTGGAAGGTGAACTCTGAATGGAGATCCATCAGCTGCACAGTCTGTCTGAGTACAGACTGACACCTCTGAGATACTCAGCACAGCAGCCCTAGAAGTTGTCACTAGGCTCGCCATCCAGAGCAAAAACAATTTAGGGAAGATGAGGTTAAGCAGGAGCACTGCATTCAAGCATTAAAATGCCCCTGAAGAGAATGGGCTGGTAAAAGTGTCCATATGCTGTTGCTTAGTCACAAGTCATAATGGAGCAGTCATTGGCAGTCATGGTAACTGTGATGGCACCTGTAACAGCATAGGTGGGCCCCATTTTTATTAATTTCAGAGAGGAAGGAAAAGTGAGGGAGAGAGATTAAAACATCAATGATGAGAGAGAATCATTGATTGGCTGCCTCCTGCATACTCCCACTGGGGATCGAGCCCAAAACCCAGGCATGTGCCCTGACTGGGAATCCAACTGTGACCACTGAACCACAATTCGTTTTAAATGGTGGGAGAAATGCTGAGTATCCACACTCAGGTTTCTTTTTCCCTTTTACTTGGTCTTGCACTACCACTTCCATAAATGATAGAATTGTGTCAAGAAAGAAAGACAGGGGCAGATTCCTTTTTTAGAGTCCTTCTGAGGGTCTTGCTGGACCCAGTGTAGAAGGCAGGTTAGGAGGCTAGGAAAATCCCATCCCAGCAGGCATAGTCTCTGGCCAGCACTTGTTTCTGCTGCACAGTCTCTGCCTGGTAAGAACAGCCTTTGAGAGCTTTCTGCCTGATGCTGGAAGGGTCTCTGATTACAGGGCCCTGCAGCTCATCATGTTAGTGCTAACACAAGGCCTTGCTCCTCCCTCCAGACCTTTCATCAAGGTGCAGAAGGGCTGCCTCCTCTTGTCACTCTCCCCAGTGAAACAGCCAGTAGACAAATGATAGGAGAAGGGTCATAGAGAATTTAACAATCTCTAAAATGGATAATCCAGAAAAAAGTGATTTCATTGAATAACCAATTGTTTTGATCCTACAACAACATGCAGCAAAACAACGGAATGGCAGTGCAAAGGCAACCCTTTCCTCCTTTCTGATGACTCAATATGAAGATACCAGCTAACACAGTTTTGCGAATAACTTAAAATAACGTACTAGCCCTCCCTTCCTGTCAATCAAATGAATAGCACATGCAGGAGGCTGCCTCCCAGAGTTAAACATAACCAGAGTTCCTGAGTACCTCCATGAGGAAGGGTACATGTATGGAAAGGAAGAGAAAATGAGTAAAAGGACAAGTACACAAATAAAAGGGGGAGGGGTTTGACGTAAAGGTATACTCTTCAGACACTTAAGGGGAAGGGGGAGAAATTAGGAGTAAGAATTATATCTCCATACCCTGGAGTAGGCCCCCCATTGTCCAGGTTGAAAACTTGTTTGGGGTTGAGCAGATAGTGGAATTTCCGAAGAATTCTATTGGGGGGAAAAAGAAAGAGAGAGAGAGAGAGGCAGAGAAAGAGATATCATTATGAGAAGCCACAATAGGGCAAACACCTCTGGGCACAATCATGGTGGGAATGAGGATCTGCTTAAACCCCCGCTGCAGAAAAGACTGAATGCCGGCCCTGCAGACCCTGATGTCCCAGCTTTAGCTGGCATCCCTCATGCCCTAACCCTCTGGTTCAAGGCCTCCCCATTCTCCAAGACTCTAGCTTCCAATGCCAGAAGTATCACCCCTTGCAGAGAAGGCAGAGCAGAGGAACTCAGAGAACAGAAGTTCTATTCTCCTAATGCTTTTTTCTTCGTGGAGACCTTCTCCCAAATATTCTGTATGTTCTAGGCTGTATAGTTCTGCTCCTTGTGGACTATACAGAGGCATCAAAGGGAAGACCACCCAAATCATGGAATCAGGAAGAAATAGGAGATGAGGCTGCAGGAAGAAAGTGCTGGGGGCAATCTCCCCACCTAGGCTTGGATTCAAGGCTCAGCTTGAGGCTAACCAGGTCAGTCCAGAAGCGATGCTCTGCCCCTTAGACTAGTGTAGGGGTCTCACAGTTGTTGCTGTAACCCTACTTATCATTTTTAAACTTGGATTTCAGATATCCATGCCATCTGTACATTATCCTGGAGCTGACAGGACTGGGGGCAGGGCTGCTTTGCCTTTTTTCCCCTCTCTCCTCCCACTCTTAGTGCTTCCAGTGGACTGGGCATTCCCTTCATGGGTGAGTTGAGTGTCCTGCTTTCTCAGGGGCTTGATAGGCCAGGAAGTCCTAATTGGTGAGTCCTGTCACATCTTTTAATCAAGAATAGACTTGAGAGACTGGGAAGTTAACAGGCATCTCAGAACTTGGTCTGACTCTGGGAGCCATAATAATGGCTCATGTGGCAGGCCCTAGACTAAGCACTGTGTGTGTTTTAATCCTCACAATCACCCTGTGAGAAGAGAAATTCTTATTTATTTACAGAGAAGGGATCCAAGGCACAGGGACATTAAGTCAGTTAAACCAGGTTATCAAGTGGTTAAGTAGGAGGGCTGGGATTTGAACCCAGGTCTGCCTGTCTCTGTTCAGTCCACTCTATTATGGCTGAGGGGAAGAAAGGACCCAAGTGAGGCTTTCTGGCCTTTCCATTTTGAAAAAGAAGAGAACATACCTTTCTCCTTGTCTCCCTCCACTCTTGGGGTTCACCAAGACCAACAGGGGGTGGGTACCCGGGGTGGGGATGATCTTGTACTTAAAAGGTAAAAGAAAAACAAATTAGCTCTGTTTCAGCCAACCGGGGGAAAGAACTGTGAGTGTATACTAAGACAGCATCTGGGAGAGGTGGATAGGAAGCAGTTACAGTCATGGAGGAGAGGAGGATGGGAGGTAGGTCTTTGTCCACTGCCTGTGTTTTTGAGGGGTTAAGCAGCTAAGTGTCTTCAGCCTGAGTGGCCTTTGAGTGGTATGAATGGGGACAGGGTTTGAAGAGATGGGACAATGGCATCGTAACTTCAAATCATTCAACAATGATGAGTCATTGAGTCCACAGCACGAAAATAGATTTTGTGAGGGATACAACTGAAAATGACCTTAACAATATGCCATCTGGTCAAATTCCTAAGTAAAATAACGCTCATGGAGTTAACCATGAATTCCCCTAGTACCAATTTTTCTCCTGAGCCCTGGTTCCTCGTTTCTCATTGTCCTGTGGGTACCTTCAACCAGACTTCACACTATTAGGTTGCTTCAAACATCAACATGTCCCAACGCTATCTTCTTTCCCCATCAAACTGATTGCCACTCTTGGCTCCCTGCTTCAATTTAAATATGCCGTTATTATTTATCCAGTCATCCAGGGAAACCCTGTTCTGCCAATTTCATTCCCTGGAATGTCCCTTTCTCTCTGCAGTTGCCACAGCAACCATACAGCCCAAGCATTTCCCAGTTCAGGTAAGTCCTGTCATGAGGTCCTTGGTATTATATAAGATTTACACACACACACACACACACACACACACACACACACACACACACATGATATTTACACACTGAATATCATATTAGTCACTTTGCTCTTGCTCAAAAACCTTTAATAACACTTTTTTGCCCCGATTATAAAATCTAAAACTCCTAACCTGGCATCCAAGGCATTTCAGTGTAACCCCATTCAACTGTTATCTCTTAATTACTCTAACCCTTGCTGCAGTTCTGGCCAAACATAGCTTTTACTCTTGCGAGTGTGTCTCCTGCATTTCCACCCTGTGGATCTGCTCACCCTGGTTTCTTCTCCTGCTCAGCACCCTGAAATGGCTCTTCTTTCTTTGCAAACTCAGGGCCCAGTGCACAAGCTACTTCCTCTATGAAGTTTTCCTTAGTTACTGCAACTAAAATGATTGCACTTGAAACATGTAATACCTTTCTGGGTTTCTTGTTGATTTGTTTTCCATCTTCTCAAGTAAATGTCTCAAAAACAGCCACTGGATTTTAAATACCTCCAAAGCAGTGTGTGTGTGTGTGTGTGTGTGTGTGTGTGTGTGTGTGTGTAAATCTTATACCAAGGACCTCATGACACTAGATAGTTAATCAACACTCATGGGTTTAGCTAAAGGATACACTGATACATAGACACAACTCTGCTCCACATTCACTAATGCTCACTTTCCCAAATCCCAGGCTAAAAATGCAGCAAGCCTGAGCCACGCTGTTTGAAACACATAGCATCAATTATTACGATTTTTAAGAATGTTCTCATCGGCCTTAGGGTGAATGTCTGTGTGAAGCATCTTGGGAGTCTGAAAAGTAATTTTTACTTCTGGGAGTGGTATTCAAAATATTCAACAACCTGTACAGCATGGGCATTGCCCAATCAGTACAGATGCAGGCTAACCAAATGGATGCTAGCTGTGAACAACTGGTAGGCCTGCATTGTGTGATTGCATGTCTGTCTGTCTCACTTGACTTTCTGTCCTTATAGGTACCTGGAGCTTTCTCACATTATTAAGATTCCCCATCATTATTGCTTATGCTTTAATTTTCTAAAAACACTAATCTGCATGTTGTCATTGAATCTCAGGGATCCTCTGGGGATAGGTAGTGCAGGGTTTGCTGTGCCTCTTTTTAAACAAGGAAACTTAAGGTTCAGGGGAAGAGGAGGAGGCCCTCATTTCCTATTTCTTTCCTAGTTAGGACTCTTTGTACCTCACCAGCTGTCTCTCCTTGCAATCCCTGGAGCTCCGTGGAAGTCACAAAGATAAGATGTTAATTGGTGAACCCAAGTGAAAAATGAGTTCTTAAATATGTGTTTAAGGATAAAGAAGAATTTTTGGATACATTAGCTTCATTTTGGCCTATTGCTTTCTGGAGACAGTGTGGCAATCTTGGAAAATCTATTGTATATTTTTAGGCCACATTCTTATTATTTTTTTTAGGGGTGAGCATATTGGAGTTCCTAAAGCAACTTATTCTTAAAAAGGTGATAAAGCCAATTTGGCCAGCCATAGGCTCAACCAGTCCCCCTTCCCACCACTTGCCTATAGTGTGGTGGTCAAAGGTAATTTGAGAGCCTGGAAATAAAGTGTCTTATGTGATATAATTGATCAGATGAGAAAGTAAATGTTGAGATATATTACTCTATCACCCAAACCCTGTCTTCCTTTCCACAGCCCTGGACCAACTTAGGATGAATGATCAGATTCAGGATGCTGAGATACCTGCATTACAAGTTCACCCTTGGCTGACACGTCACCATCAGACTTCCCACCTTGCCTGTCCTGTGAGAAGAGAGGAAAGATAAGCATCTTTTTTTGGGGGGGGGGGTTTGGGGGGAAGGCCTAATATAAGAAAAAGGAATCAGAAGAAAAACAAATGGTTAACAAGGAGAATTAGAAAACCAGTGCAGAATAGGGAGAAGTGTTTCAAAATGGGGCTTTAGCCCTAAAAAAAGAAATGTTCCCCTATAGGTTTCTCGAGGATTCTCGAGGTCTCTGTGATCATTTGCTCTAACATTAACTTTGAGACTCTGGAATGGAATGGACATGGGGAGAGGGAACGCTAACATTGACAGAAATCTACTTTGTTGATTTTGAAGCTTGAGCTCTGAGAAGCAAGATCTTAGATTTGGCTTCTCTGCTTAGCACTATCTAAATGATGTTATATTGAGAATGTTATTTTTTTTAAGTTTTTTAAATTTATGATTATTATTTTTTGTGGAGGTTTATTTCTCATATAGTAAAATGCTCAAATCTAAATCTCCAGCCAGATGAATTTCTGCTCTTGCTGCTTCTTCAGGTCTAATGCTGCTGTGATTCTGAATATCTAATTGGTTTTCTCTGGCTTTTGAACTTCATAGAAATGGAATCACAAAACATGTATTTTTATTGATTTCAGAAAGGAAGGGAGAGGGAAAGAGAGATAGAAACATCAATGATGAGAGAGAATCATTGATTGGCTGCCTCCTGTATTCCCCCAGACTGGGGATCAAACCCACAACATAGGCATGTGCCCTGACTGGGAATTAAACCATGCCCTCCTGGTTTATAGGTCAACTCTCAACCACTGAGTCACACTGGCAGGGAAGAATACTATGTCTTTTTTGAGTCCAACTTCTTTTTACCAGCAGTCTATCTTTGTGATTATCCCCTTTTTGCATCTAAACATAGTTGTTTTTTTTTTCCATGTAGTATTTCATGATACAAATATTCCTCAATTTATTTATGAATCTATTAGAGGCCTGGTGCATGAATTCATGCATGGGTGGGTTCTTCTGTCTGGGCAGCAATTGGGGCCAAATTGGACCATCTCCCCCAGTTCCCATCGGGCCAGTGGCCAACTTTCTGGCCAGCCAGCCCAATCGCCCCAGTCTGGCCAACCTCCTGCTGGCCAGCATGGGGGGGGGGGGGCGGGTTTGGAGCCCAAGGAGGGGCTCTGGGAGGTTAGCTGTGGGAGCACACTGACCACCAGGGGGCACTCCTGCATTGAGCATCTTCCCCCTGGTGGTCAGTGTGCATAATAGCAACTGGTAGACAGATTGTTCTACTCATTCTGGCCATTCAGTCGTAACGGTTGCTTAGACTTTTATATTTATGGATTCTGTCATTAAGTTTGCTTCTGTTTTTTCACTGTTATCAATAAAGTTGCTACAAACATTTTTGTACATGTATTTTGGTAGAAAAATGCTCATATTTCTCAGGTAAATATATAGGAGGGAACTTGTCGGGTCTTAGAGTTTTGTATTTCCAACTTGATAAATGCAGTCAAATGGTTTTACTTCAGGTTTTTTTTTTTTAAGAGACATATCATCCATAACTGGTCAAGGATGATACATGAGAAATCAGGGGGACTTGGCAACATCTTTAAGAAGGAAGGGAACAGCTAAGATGTTTGGTGCTTAGTTTGAAAGTGGAATCTTCAACACAGGAGACAGACAATTGCAGCTGGGGATAAAAGGAGTTTAATTTTGAGGCATCCATTTCCAAATAGGGCTGAGACACCCAAGTGGCAATCATCAGGGCAGATGTCGGGATGTAGGAGAGAGGTTGGCAGAAACACCTGGGAGGCCTGGCCTGTGCAGGTAGTGACTACCTTGAGCTGTGTCCTGCCTGCCAGGTGCTCAGAATGAATGTGCTTTCCAGGATGGGCCACTTCAGAGCATTCTGGGGGCCAGCAGTAGGAACCACTTTAGTCAGGGGAGTTTTTCCTCACAAATTGGTGGGCACAGCATGACCTCATTTAAACTTTTGTTGACAATACAAACCCACGAGTTGTTGAGGAAGCCCTCAGAGAGGGGTGGACATCTAAATGCTGCACATGTGAAGTGTGCAGGATAGGGGAGTGGGGAATCAGAGCCCTGGTGGGTGGCAGCACTTACCTGAGTGATGGGGCAGATGGAGGTGGGCAGCAGGATGTGGTCTTTGAGTTCCCCACCATCACACACTGTGGATAATTCACATTTGCGGTGAAACTGGCGGAAACAATGAAGATGAGAGTGAGTGAAACAGACCGAGGAAATTTCAAATATGAGGGTTTCGAAATTTACTGGGGAGGCAAGCTGTCTAGTGCTCCCCAAAACCTGATGCACTGCTGGCTTTGGCAGTATAACTGAGTGTGTATGTGTGTGATGTGTATATGGTGTGTTGTGTGAGTTTTCAGTGTGTGTAGGTGGCATGTATGCATGTGTGGCATGTGAGTGTGTGGTATGTAATCAGGGCTGCCAAATCTTCTGTGGGCTGATAAAGAAGACAAAGTGCTACCCATAGCTGCTGGGGCAAAACAGTCATGAGCAGGCCTGTCTGTGGCCCTTCAGTGTGGCACCCCAGGTGGATTCCAGCCTCCCCCCCGCCCCTTGGATTATTGCTCCCTAGACTCTGAGACACCGGAAGGAAGGAGATCTTATTGAACAGACTCATGAGAGGCTGAAAATAGACCCTTTGACACAACCTCTGCATCTTAAGAGTTCTGTGATTTACTTTGGAGACCTGCCCTTTTTGAGGCTGATCAAGGACCTTGGTCAAGGCGACAAGACATGGCCCTGAGTTAGCTGTGATAGCAGGGTGACCTTTGGCAGGTTCTGGATGTCTAGAGAGGAAGTGGACATTGGCTGTGGCTAACGGCAGTAGGTCTAGGCCTCTGGCCCAGGCAGTGGGGCTGCTGTACAGAATGTACCTTCCTCTGGCACCTTGAGGAACATAATTCTGGTGTCTAATTCCTCACCAACTGTGGTGGTGCCACTGGCCGCAGGTGATACCCGGGGGAAGGAAGTTAATGGTCACAGCTGCCCAGCCACACCGACAGTAGACTGACCAGCTTCTTCTTAAGCAGCCATCACTCCCCTTGTTCTGGGGGTTGTCCTCTCTCTGGGCAGCTTGTGATTCAGTGGGCACTGTTAGAGTTAGGGCATTGAATGGGGTTCTGGGCGCCCCAGATGTCCCCCTGGCTCTGCTTAGGCTCTTTAGCAAGATGTCCACTGCCCCTGGGCTGCAGCTTGAGCAAAAAAAACCAACAACTGAAAAGAAGCAGGGCTGCTCTGGGCACCAAACCCACCGTCTTCCGGCACCACACGCAGTGCCACGCGGTGACACTCTGGTAGCACTTGATACTTTTGTGGCACCGATCACACTTGACCGAGGAGTTCCCTTCCACCCACGCGTGCTGCATCACCTGCAGAAGGGAAGGGAAGGATGCCAGGGAAGGCTGCAGAACCACTCCCCGGGCGTGGGCCTGAGGAGAAGGGCCTGGAGGTGCACAGAGGGGTGAGGGCAGAGGGGTTGTTTCCTGTTCACTTTATGCACTGATTGGGTGCTGGACGGCTTTGCTGCACTACGCTGACACGCTCTCTCCCTGCCTACCCACCATTTTGTTCATCGAGGCAGTTGGAAACCATTTTTTCCTGTGTCTTGAATAGCTCATTTACCCTGGCAGTCAAGCCTCTGAGCAGCATCTCGTCTGGCAATCCATCTGTTTGTCTTGCAGAACTTCTTGCAGAGTGAGGTGCTCATGCATGCCCTCTTCTGGAAGGCAGAGTGATGCAGGGAAAAAGGAGGGCTGGGCCACAGACTGAACTGGTTGGAATCATTGATTTTCCATTTGGCAGCAGGACGACCTTGGGCCAGTTCCTGGACCTCTCTGAGTCTCAGGTCCCTAGTCTGTAAAAATGGCATAATAAGCCCCACCTCTACGTTTACATGAGCTCGCAATGATGGGTAACTTCCTGTCAGCCTCAGCAGCCCATCAGAACCATTTGGGGAGCTTCCTATAAGTTCTAATACCCAGTTCTCTCTGCAGACCAACTAAATTTGAGTCTCTGGGGATGGGAACCATTTTAATAGGGTTTAAAGCACCCTCTGTGATTACAATGTACGGTCAAGGTTGGGAAGCACGCTAGAAGTAAGTTAGAGGAAAAGTCCAGAGAACTTAGTGTAGGTCAGCAGCCAGTGGCTTTCACATCTGTTTCCTGGAAAGCTAGTTGTACTTACTTCCTGGCCAGGAAATGGCACGAGGGCAGCCCAGGAACCTAGAAGCCATGGGAATATATATGTATATGTGTGTGGGTAAGTGCAAAGTGACCCATGACACCAAATGCTGGGGACCTGAGCCCTCGGTTGTCTTCCCTAGGGATTCTACAGAACTTCCCAAAATTGCCCACAAGGGCACTTTGGATACAGAAGGAAGAGAATGTGCACTGTGGGGGTATACGGGGACCTAGTCTGAAGTGCCAGCTATAAACACACTACTAAAAACACATGGGATATTTGCATTACACCATCCATGTTTGTATTAAATAAAAGTTTTAAATTACTTATCAATTAAGTTAATAGTCCTCCTTCCAAAGCTTTTTGGTAAAATTCTTATTCTAACAGAAATGCCACTTTTATTTGAGGATATAAAGAATCCAGTTTGCCAATCAATTTGTCATCTCCATGGTCACATTGCATTTACTCTGAGATTCTTATTATTTCCATTTCATGGAGAATAAAACAAACCATCGGATAAGTTAAGTGACCGGCTCCAAGTTCCAAGGCTGATAAGTGGTCAAGCAGAGCCTCATAGCCAGATCTTCTGACTCCAAATCTATGGTTGTCTACTAACACCGCGTTCTCTATCCTCTTCTGGGATTGGAAGAGATGGTGAAGGACTTGGGTTGCCCTTGGAGATTCAGAAGATCATGTCCTGCTGGCCCCTAAGTGGCCTCTCTCTGCTCTGTGTGTAGCAGGTGGCTGGAGTGCGGGCTAAGGCCTTAGGAGGTGTACCGTACGTCCTGGTGAAAGCATGCATATGGAAAGATGTGTGCATGCGTGTGGTGCAGAAGTAGACGAGAGGCCATGCGGTGTCTCATGGGGCATGCATGTGTGTCCTGGAAGGCACCCTTCTCTCTTGGAGTCCTGTGGGGATAGCACTCCCACCTGCTAAGCATCTCCTGACTCAGATCATTGGAATCTTCCATGCGGTAACCCAAGAGTTCCCTTTTCCTGCTAATTTTAAGAGTCCATTTCCAGATTTGATGAATGGTACCACAACAGCCAAGTTAGAAACCCGGGAGCCATTCCTGACCTCTTCTCTTCTCTCCATCACCAAGTCCTAGTGGTGGTACCTCCAAATTATCTCTCAAACTCTTCCTTCATCTTCTCTTTATGTGAGCCAGTTGGACAGTCAAAGTTCTCAGCTGGCATGGCTGGCGGAGACTCTCAGCAAGACACAGCCACCACTGTGCTGCTGAGGATTCATCAACATAGTGGGTGAATACAGACCCCACCCCAGTCGGGCCCTCGGTGCAGCACTGCCTCTTGCCTGAACTGTTGAAGAGGTTTTCTCCTTCAGATCTCTTTCCTGCACCATGGTCAGAGCAATTAACCTAATTTGCAAGCTCAATGATCTCCAGCTCAAAGCTTCTCAATGTCCCCTTATGAAACTCTTTCCCAACTCCTCAGCTGGCCTCACAGACCTTCCCAGGCTGGATCTCACTGTCAGAGCACAGCTCCTGACACTGCCCTTTAAGCATCCTCTGTTCCAGTCAGGCAAACAGGCACAGACCTCAGAATAAGCCATGTGCCTGGTGCCTTGCCCACCTTAATGCCTTGTGAAGTCAAAGTACAAGGTTCAAGGTACAGAGTTCAAGGTACAACTCAAATGCCATCTCCTTGTGAAACCTCAATTGTATGTCCCACACAATCGCTACTATTCATCTCACTACCTTGTGCTTTGCTTCCACTCCTGTCTCTCTCCCGCTAGATGGCACAGTTCTCCAGTAGGCTGAAGGCCACCTTACAAGCCGCATACCCCCTAGCACAGTGCCTGGCACGTGATAGGGACCAGGTAGATGCTGAATGAATTGATGGATGAACAAGATGGTTTAACGATGATCCTCAGGGCAGAGAAGGGACTGGGTAAAGCTCCCAAAGCTCCTTCCCACCCAGGAGTCCGGTGATGAACATGTAGCCTGGGACACAGCATGCAGTAGGACAAGGCAATAGGTGTCACCAACCTCGCTGCCCCTTTTGGTTCTTGAGTATGTTTTGACACACCCAGGAATGTTTTTGGATACACAGCGTTCGTGGACGGTATATTTACAGTCTGGGGGGAAAAAAGTAAGGAAAGTACTCGTGAGTGACCATGTAGAAAAGGTCCAGCTACCCCGCCCCTCCCCAGATGAGGCCTGAGTCTGACTAGGTGACCAGTAGGGGCAGCGGACATATGGAGCTGGCCTTGCCTAATGGAAATTCGAAGCAGTCTTCCCTTGTTCTTTGAGAAGGGAGTCCATGATTATCTCCCAGACATGCTCCTGCACTCACCACCCTGCTGCACTTGGGCAGTAAATTAGGGGAGAAAAGATTGCGTGGAAAAGTGCTTTTCACTTAAGGGTGGAGGAGGAGTTATCCTCCTGGTTATGCCAGTGCCACAGTATTGTGTGTCAGGGATGCTGCGGGTGGGCAGAAGGCCAGGGGGCTTCCTAACTGAAACAGGTGGCTCTGAACTCCGGCTCTGCCATTTGTAACGACCCTCATGACCTTGAGTAAGTTTTCCACATCTTTAAAATTCAGGGTATTCTATAGAATGGAAATAAAATTGCCTCTCTTTCTCTTTACAGGACTTTTGCAGCATTAAATGAGATACTTTGTGGTTTTTAAAATCATTTCTTAAAATTAAATTTTTTAGAGTTGAAGGTATTACATGTGTTCCTCTTCCCCCTCCCCATTGACCCCATCTAGCCAGCTCCTACCCCTCATCCCAGGCCTTCACCACCCAATTGTCTGTATCCATGGGTTATGCATATATGCATACTAGTTCTTTGTTCATCTCTTCACACCCACCCACCCACACACCTCTGCCTTCCCTCTGAGATTCCACAGCCTGTTTCATGCTTCTATGTCTCTGGACCTATCTCATTAAATGAGATACTTTGTATAAAGCAACCATGTGTCTGGGTCAGAATATCTATTCCACAAATTATTATCACCACTACTGTTACTACACTGATTGCTATGCAATCAGCAGGGGCCTGCAGTCCTGGAACCTGATTGAATGAGACAGAGTCTCTCAGAAATGGGGAGACTGGATTTGAATGGGTGCTGAGAACACTGGCAGACCCCTTCTTACACCTTCTGATGCTCTTCGTAGACATTGGCCCCAACTCTGTCAAGATGACTTTTGTGGCCGAGGTCACCTGCTGCCTAGCTCACATGTACAAGTTTAGAAGATCTGCTCCGATGACCTGGACTGCACCCAAGGGCCCTGCCTGCAGCAGTAGCTCCCCAGTCTCTAGTGGGTTCAGACCTGCCTGCATTGTGAGGTGATTTGCAGAACTCTGCACCCATATACTCTGACCCACAAAACCTTCTCAGGGCAGCCCCTCCCATCTCCTGCTCCCTGAATCACCCCCTTTCTAATTAACATCACCGCTCCATCTTCCTTCCCTCCATCTCTTTCTTCTGTCTCCTTCCCACTCTCCCTTCCTACTTTTTTCTCTTCCCTAGTTTTTTCCCTTCTCCCATTTGACTTTACTAAGGATTATAAAGTGAAACAAATGGATAGTTTTCATTTCCACTGCATTTACAAATACATTTTTATATTGCTTAATAATAATAATAATAATAATAATAATAATAATAATAGTAAAGAACACACACCCAGATTCTTCTGACTACCCAAATGAAATTAGTTTGGGATGGTTTTTAATTATATGTGAGCCTTAAACACTTTTTTTGGGGGGGTAGGGGGACCTGTGGCCCATGATGGGTCTCCAACAATGGGACATTACTTATCCATTTGACTTGAATAGCACAAAAATAGGACATGGAGGTCTTGATTCATCCCCTGCTGTGGAACAACATGGGAGGTCCCTTTAGCTCGGAAGCAGAAATACATAGACTATTTCTGGAATGGCTCAACTACATTCAGAGCAAGACAGTTCTTGGGAAAGGAGGTCTGAAGGATGTTTACTCACATGTACAGCACAGGCCTTGCTTCCTCACGCCCATCAGCATGACGTGGCAGAAGTTGCAGTAGGTTGGTTTCTTGAAATGCTTCATGGTCCAGGCATGCCTGCCATCCCCCTTGGAGCCCTGTGGGGATAGAGAAGGAATGGGACTTGGAGCAGGCACCCCTAAGCTAGCTGAAGCCTGGGCCTGTCTCCTGTTATATCTTCTTATTTCTCAAAAGACTCTCTTCTCATATTTGGAAGACAAGATATACATTTATTTTACTGACATAAAGACTCTTAAAAGTGGAAATCAAAACTAAGTTCTTGTCCTTGTGTGTGTTTTCTAAAATTAGCAAGCGTTAAAAATTAAGAATATCTGAGCAGGAATATGTGTGTGGGGGATAACACAAGCCCTTTTCTACTTGGCTGGTGGAAGTATAAATCCAAACAAACCATCTCTCTCTCTCTCTCTCTCACTCTCTCTCTCTCTCTCTCTCTCTCTCTCTCTCTCTCTCTTTCTCTTTCTCTCTCCTTGTCTATCTGTGATCCTGTAATGTTTATAACTGTTGACTTACAAATTTTCTTTCTTGGATTCACTTCTAAAATATCATTTTTGAAGGAAAGATGAGCATTTTTGTGCTCTGTCACATATTTAACTCAGCATTATTTATTTAAAATAATGCAAAATTGGAAATATTCTAAAGGTATCAAAGTTACCAAAAGGTTAATTGTGTTAGAGATATGTGATTAAAGGTTACGTGGCCATCACAAAGATATTTATAAGAATGACTGATGGCATGGGAATGTCCTCCTGACACAGCCCTAAGTGAAAAAAGCGGGATGTAAATTTGAGGACCCATTATTTGAGGACCCATCTCAGTTTTATGTAGTAAGATCTCTGGTGGGAAAAAATGTCACCAAACCATTGACAGGTTCGTTATAGCTGGAAGCAGTATGAATTAATTTTATTCTCTAATTTTTATTTTCTTTTATGTTTCCCAAAATTTCTACAATTGGCAAGTAATAGTTTTATAATCAGAAAAAAAGTAATTTAGTAAAAACAATGCACCCTCTCATCAACTTTCCAGACACAGATAAAATAGTTAAGAGATAGTCAGACTTGGCTCAGAAGCAAATTCATCCTGACCTGCTAGATAAGCCAAGCATCACACAATCACACACCTTCCCTGGACACCAAAGCTCCTGCCTTCTGGCCCCTGGTAGCACAGCCTTGCTGGAGGCTGTGGCTTCAGGGACAACCCTCCACGCATCTGTCCCAGAACATTTTGTATAGGCTCCATCAAAAGAGCATCGTTCTTAGGGTGGTGTGTAGGTTAGTAAAAAGCACCCTAGGAAGGTAGTGAGAACTGACTGTCAGGTACACAGAATCCAGCATGCGGGACTCAAACCCAGCTCTTACTTTTGGGCCCCTCTGGTTTGCACTGGTCATGGCAATCAGATCCATTTCTACACCATGTCTTCTGCTAATGGTCTCTAGAAGAGCCTGTATGGGTTTCCAAGTGCGGGTCTCATTTCTCCTCATCACCTCAACACCCTGCTTCTTCAAGACCAGACTCTATAGAATTACAGCCTTTATATCTAATGGTTTCTGTAAGTAAAGCTTCTAATCCAGTGTCTGATAACCAAAACTTATCAAGTTCCTACTCTGTGCTGGACAGTAAGGGACACTAAGATAAGTGTTTTCTTATGTGTAAGGAGGTAGGTTTATGCCTGTTCTGGAAATGATGAAATGGAGACTCAGAGAAGTTACATACATATCCCAAGACCACACAAATAATACGTGACTTAATCAGTAGTCAAATTGGGGCTCTTACTGGCATCAGAGCCTGTCCTCCTTCTTTATGAAAGAAAACTACAGCTCAGCAGACTCAAAGGACTATCATTTTTAACTTGGAAATACCTTCATTAGCTAAATCAGGTACTGTCTTCATATATAATAGTTGCAGTAAGAAACAGAGGGACCATGGCTTAGAGCAAAGTAACTTTTCCGCGTGGGCTACAGCGCCATCATGTGGCGCTTTCATGTCGGCACAGTGGCGGCTGCAGGATGTGGGAGTAACTTTCCTCTTGCATGCCAGGCTTATTGCCGCTGCTGCAATTTCACGGAGACAGACTGCTTTGCACATATTGCATTCAGAGATCCCCAGACTTATCAGGGGCCTTTTGTAGGTTTTGAAAAAGCCAAATAAGTAATGTGACTTTTAAGACATTTAGGAATGCTTTCTCTGAACCCCTAATATTAAATGTAGAAAAGTACAATTTAGTGTGTATTTAAAAATAAGTGCATAACACTTTTGATTAATAAAAGCCAAATTTAAATTTGTTCTTTGCTTGCCACTTTCTTGATATATAGTTGGTTTTATACAAAGCTGACTTGGCTTTGGGAAGAGACAGGAGAGAAAATGGCCTGTCCCTCCCTCCTCAAGCCATAAAACAGTGGGTCCCCTCCATGTGAAGAGCTGGCGGCACTTTGGAGTCAGTAAGCCCAAACTAGGGGGGAAAAATGTTGGTTTCTTATGACTAAAATGCCCCATCTCTATTTCCATATTTAGTGAAAAAACAATGTTATGTTAACACCCAAGAAACCAAACACTCAGGTATGTTAAACCAGCACTGAATCAGATCTTCCATTCCAGGTATGATCTTGAGTATTGATAGCAGGAAGTTTATCTTACTTATCTGAATGCCCCTCCTCCCAGTCCTAGCTCACATAGGTTCTTTTTTCTTTCTTTCTTTTTCCTAATATATTTTATTGATTTTTTTAACAGGGAGGAAGGGAGAAGGATAGAGAGTTAGAAACATCAATGAGAGAGAAACATCTATCAGCTGCCTCTTGCACACTCCCCACTGGGTGTGTGCCCACAACCAAGGTATATGCCCTTGACCAGAATCGAACCTGGGACCCTTGAGTCCGCAGGCCAACGCTCTATCCACTGAGCCAAACTGGTTAGGGAATACATAGGTTTTTGTACTTAATACGTTCTTGGTAAGGGATCCTTGGACGAGAGGTCTGCTGTTCCTGAATATGGAGGATAGCCCCTGGTAGTAACTAGCTGTGTGTTCTCGGGCCCTTAGTTTGAAAAGTGAAGGGGACAGATCAAGGAACACCAAGATCTTCTCCAGCTCTGACTAAGGAATAGAAAGACAGTTGTACAGATCCTCATTCCTGAATTTCTGCGTAACCCTTGGAAAGAGCTGAACATGCCAGGACATGACTGCAGGATTCCTAGCTCTTGCATATTGGAAATGAAGGCCCAGCTTCAGTCCTGAGTTGCAGAATTGTCTGATGGAGACATTACAGGCAACCACAGCAATTGGAGGCTCACCCAGCTGAAAGTTTCCTGTTCTGTTCCTCTGTATGACACTTCAGACTTTCAAAGCGATTCTGTCACACAACCTATGTGATTGTCCTGGCAAATGCTTCAAAGGTACAATTTTACTTTTAGCTTGTGCATGAAAGTTACTTTCAATTGGTAAATAAGCAGACAATGCAGTGACTGACTAGGTCAGGTCAGGCATATATAACCAATAATTTTGCATGAAGTCTCTACATGTATTCTCTACTCTGATGTAGCGGGGAGGTTTTTCTAAAACATGAACTTCCTTTCATTTGGGTCTTTGATCAAGCTATTTTCTTGGCCACAAACTCTCTCTTCTATCATCTTTTACCACCAAATCATATCCATCCTTTGGAAACACGTCAAACATCCTCTTAGGTCTTTCCACTGACTATTATCTCAAAAGCAGGATAACAAAACCCTACACATCCTCCAGGACCAGGGAAAATATCCTCTGATATTTCTTCCCACAGGTCTCACTCCTAAGTCTGGGCCCTTAGAAAGTGAAGTATCTTTGGAATCAAATACAAATACATTCTGACTTCTCTCTTCGCTCCTTAGGCTAATAATTTCAGCTTTCCATTTGTATAAAGAGTGGGGATGGAGGGAGGGAGATACCTACCTTATTTGGTTGTTTTGATCACCCTCTGCCTCACAATAGATCAGTATTTTTTCCTTACATTTCTCCTTCTCTTCCCTCCTTCCCCAGCTCTCATAGCACTTTTCAACCTAATTTGTGGAAAAGATGGAATTCTTCCTTGAATTTTGTTTTGCCCTTTGATTGGTTGAATATAACCTTCTGGTGGGTGAATATATGAGTCCCTTCACAGAGCTCAGAACAATATCTTTATTTACTAATAAATAGTACATGCTGTCAAATGAATGAATATATTTCAGTCACTAATAGGTAAAGAGAGGTCTTTGAGGCTGGCCTAGAGCATAGGGTTTGTCCATTGGGGCAGAAGCCAAGGTGATGTGTAGATATGAACTTCCACATAGAGCTTGATGTTCCTGAAAGGCAAAAGATCTGAACTCAGGCTTGCTGACTTACAGAGTCGTCCATGCCCAGGAGGACCAGCAATGGGATGGTGGTCATCCCTCCGTGGACCCATTCCTGTAGAGACACAAAGCCGTCCCGGTCGTAGTCCATCCCTTGCAACATCTCCTTCAATATCTGCAGAATCCACAGAGCAGCAATTGTCCATTTTCATCCTTGACTTCTCTGCCCCCACTGCCTCCTTATTTCTCTTTTGTTCTGCATTGTCTGGCTTGTGTTTTGCCCCCTTCCACTTTGGTTCACAGTGAGTAGAGCTTCGAGGGAGCAAGTGGGGGTGAGGAGAGCAGAGATCCAAGCCCTGCTCTGCCTGACCTGACTGGGCAGCCTTGGGCAAGCCAGCCACCCCGACTCTCTGGGTTCTACTTCGCTCCTCTGTGGAATGGAAATAATATTGCTATGAATGCAGCACTGTAGTGGGGACTAGAGAAAAGGTATATAGAATGTACATTTATATAAAAAATTAGTATTACCTGGTGATGAAGGAAAATTTTAAAAATTCATTCAAGTTCTAAATTCTTTGATCTACCAGCTCTTATTATAAAAATTTAGCTTTGAGGGAAAAGGTCAGAGGTAATTATTATTTGAATTATATCTACATTTTCCCCTGTTGCCTATAGTTTTTCCTATCAGCAAAGTGGGAGATCAAGATGTAGGACCCCTGAGAAGCTGCCTGTAGCAGGATGAGTCTGGGAGATCCTGCCCATTTTTATCCTGAGGGTATCCTGCTTTTCTCTCGGAAGTCACCCCATGTTTCCAGAAACTCACAGGCCTTAGCTCCGTGGGATCCCACTCAAGATACTGAGCAATGTGCAGCATCTGGTTGACAATACGATCCATCTCCTAGAAAAACATCAAGGTGAGAAACCAACTGAAGATGTGTTTTCAAGAGCAAGGCTCAACATCAAAACATGTGGGAAGGTGGGCAGGGCAGAACATGGGAAGCAGCTGGTGTAGTATCCTGGCATTCCACGTGGAGCTCACTACTTGTTTCTGCTCTTTATTCTGCCTTGACCACAAAGCTCAGTGGAGAATAGATGCTCACAAGAAGCACAGAAGACAGCTAGGCCAGAGGTATACTGAAAGCTCCCTGGACACTGACCTTCTTGGACCCATGTGGACTCACCTTTCTTCCCCTAGTCTTGGCTTTGACTTAGAGATCATAGGAAGCACTTCTGTTTTCTCCTTCTTTGGGATCTCAACTTTCTCACATGCTTACAAACCAAAGCAGTCCTCTCTTCACTCTTTAGTCACTCCTCATTCCCACAGCTTTACTGACTTGGGATCTACCTATACCTCTCAGAGGTCAGCGTCAGGTTATATAGGGTCTCTGTGTGGGCCTTAGTTCAGATACTATGATTTAGATCCTTTTGGCATCTCCTCTATTTTCTTTGTGTCATGGCCAGCCCTGAATCCAGGACTCTGTGGACAGGAAATTCATGAGGGGTTAATGGGCTGGTGAGTGAGCTTTTCACTTGCTACTTAGGCCAGGCTCAATCTAAAACCTCACACATAATTGTATGCTAAGTAATCAGGGCACCCAGAGGCCCACTGAAATACACTTAGACCAAGGAGACATTTGCATCTCTTGGGCACAATCTAAGATGTTAATGGTGAGATCAATGTGGGGAGACATGAATGAACTGAAGCAAGGTTCACTAGTGTTACCTCCACCAGGTAGAATGCTGGCTCAAACCAAGCAAGCAAAAAAGCAACAGGAACTTTAAAAATTGTATTTCATTTAAATTAAAAAAATAATAATTCATTGCAAAACTGCAGATGAGGTAGTAGATGGGGGGCAGAGGAAGTAGGCAGAAAGTTGAGGACAGGGTTCTACAGAAGTTTCCAAGGAAAAGAGCTTGTGAATCTAGCTGGGACTAAAATTTAACCAGTAAACAATGTGACTCAGAAATGAGAATTAAACTCAGCCTTGAGCTGTGTCAATGGGTGGGCATTTCCAGGAAGAACTGGCTCGTCTGATGTCTACCCTGATTAGACCACCTGTGGATGGTTAATGAGTCATGAGGGAGGAGGAGGTTGGTTCTATGCCATGTTTTTAAAATGGCATTGACAAACCAGAGTTTGGCCAGAGTGCATGTTTAAGTCTGCGTCTGAGAAAGTATGAGGATGGGGAAATCTGAGCCTGGGAGACATTTTACAGAAGATGTGATAGTACTTTCAAATACATGAAGGCTGATTGTATAGAATCAATATCCACTGATCAGCTGTCCTGGTCAGCTACAGAGGCCAGCAGCAAGCCAATGGGTATCGGGAAGGATTTGTTGAGGGCTGGCTTATTTTGGCTTCACTGCTGGGTTGGGAAAGGGAGAGGGAAAACAGAAGCAGGTTTCATGGTAAAACTTCTCCGGCACACCAGCGGTGCCTCTTATGTAGGAAGGAAGCCCTCGCTGAGTCACCCTTGGTGATGTAGTTGGCTGTGTTAAGGCAGTGGTTGAACTCTTCAGCACTGGGAATGATCACAAAGAGAGTGGGCGCCCAGCTGCCAGGGATTCTCAGTGGGAAGTTGTATTAGGTAACACTTTGGAGACTGCTTCAGTCCACTGATGTTATCCTCCAAATACATTTGAAATCTAACCACTTCTTACTACCTGCAATGCTTCTACCCTGGTGCAAGTTACCATCCTTTCTTGTCTCGCTGATTTCAATAACCTCCCACCTGGTATCCCCACTTGCACCCCTATAGTCTAGACAACACAGGAGCTAGTGATCCTGTTATAACCCAAGTCAATCACATCACTCCTCTGTGTGAAATACCCAATGGTTCTCCATTTATCCAGAGTTAAAAGTAAACCATTTCAATCACCTAAAAGCTTTGCAAACTTCCTCTACTCCTATCCCATTTCTTCACTGATCTCATCTCTTATTGCTTACTCACTCTGACTTTTCCTGTTCATTCAATCTGCTACAGTCACTCTGGGCTCTTACCTAATCTGCTAACATTCCAGGCACTCTTCGGGACTTTTGTACTCTCTGTTCCCTCTCCTGGAAGGCACTTCCTCTAGACTTAGGTGTTCCTAGGACTTATAGTCTCTCACTTTCTTCAAGTCTCTGTTCAGACATCCCTTCCTCAGGGAGACCTTTCTTAGCTCATCCAGCTAAAACAGCAGCTCCCTCCAACACTTTTTCTCTTTTATTTTTTCTCCTAGGACACATTTTACTATGTTTCTCAGTGTGTGAGTTTGCACTAAAATGAAAGCTTCATAAGGGCATAGGTTTGTGGTTGTTTCTTTGTTTGTTTTTTTTTTTTTTTTTTTTTTTTTTGTCAATTGGATCACTGATATATACACAGTATTTAGAACAGTGTCTGGCACATAGTAGATAGTTAATACATGCATGTTCCCTCACATGACATAAATCACAGCATTGCAATATGGCCATAGGGCTCCCACAAAGACACCCTGGAATTTGGAAGAAATTGGGATGACTTAGTGAGTTTGTTTAGTGAATTTGTTCCCTTTCTTCTTCCCTCTGTTTAAACCCAGCCTCATGCACCTCAACCTCAGAGCTTTTCCTGAAGGAGTTTCACCTTTCACATTGCCAGTCATGAAGACAAGGCCTGCCTGACCCTATTTGCCATCTCCCCTCTCTCTGCCTTCTTCCTTTTCTATCCTTCCTCTCACTTCATGACCTATCCCTGTCTATTCCTGAGGGAATTGGGCAAAAGAGTGGGGGAGATGGACCTCAGAGTTTCTCAGGTACATGGAAATAGGATCATGTGCTCTGAGCAGACGAATGAAACTCCTAGAGTCCCGGGAATGAGAGGATGGTGACGGTGATGCAGAAGCACACCAGCAGTTACCTGCTTCCCCCTGCCCTCTTGCCCTGGTCTTGCTGCCTTTCCTACCTCCTCTCCTCGGCTCCTAGTCTCCAGCAGGGAATTGCAGGGAGAAGTTCTGAACCCATTAGGGAATTAAACTAGATAAGATACTAAAGCACCTTCCCATTCTAAGATTTTATAATCCTGGGTTCCTGGAATGAAATGGCAAGTTGGAGTTCTGGCTCTTTGGAAAAAGAAGGTGGGGATTCTACTCATATTTGCACCCCAGTATTGAGACATAGCTATTCTTATAAAGACAGAACTCCTATAAAGAGTTCCGGACTCTTTCTCCACCTGTTGTTCCCTTCCCCCCTAGCCTTTCTTGGAAGGATATTTTGAGAGCTTACCGCTTGATCTAGGAGACCATTCTCATCCGAATCATAGAGACGAAACATGACTGCAAGAAACACAGAGAAGAGGCTTGAGGCATCCTCCAGGCACCAGAGATGGCTCAGGCTCTGTTGCTGCTAGTTTTTAGATCAGTTCTGACCACCACTCGGGAAAAGGCTGTTGCAGCCAGCTCACCCACCTTCCAAAGTAACAGAATCTGATTTCCTTACAAGGAAGAGGAGAGAGGGAAGATAACCAAGCCACCTGACTTCTGGAACTGCCTAAGCAATAACTCTGTAGCTGAGATCCAGGTCATGAGTGTGAGTCCCTGTAGGGCATTCACACTTTTCAGTATCACTGGAACAGAACTCAGAGCAAATGCCCAGATGATGGTGGGGCTGGGGTACCAGAGGTATAGTTAGAGGCGCTTAGCTTATGAGGCTGACTTGCCAGACAGATGGTTGAATGATGTAAAGAAGGACAGACTTCCCACTATGTTGCTCCCAGACCCTGGATAGGTAACTCTAACACAGAGCTCTTCTGGTCCTACTGTGCATGAAGAGTAGAAGCAGAAAGTGTGAGTAAGCATCCTATCTTTTAGCAGCCTGGCCTTGGACAAGTCATTTAACCATTCTGTGCTTTCTTACATGTAAAATGAGGATAATTATCTAGACCTTCTAGGGCCAATAAGAGGTTAAAGTGAGATAATGCACTTAAAGTGCTCATCAAATAAAATAAAAAGTGTTCAATGATGAGAGTTATTGGTATTATTGTATTACTTTTTTATTGATAGGTGGGATAAATGTTTGGTTGTTAAAAAGAAAGGCGTAACCCATTTTTAATTATTTAAATCAAGGGAGAATTTCTTAAAAAATATTTTTTATTGATTTTAGAGAAGAAGGAAGAGGGAGAGAGAGAGAGAAACATCAATGATGAGGAAGAATCATTGATTGGCTGCCTCCAGCACACTCCCTACTGGGGATCAAGTTTGCAATCCAGGACCTTGACCCGAATTGAACCTGGGACCCTTCAGTCTGCAGGCTGACGCTCTATCCACTTAGCCAAACCAGCTAGGGCCAAAGTAGAATTTGAATTGATTTGGTTTAATTTTAAAAAAAGAGAAAAGCTTACTGGACAAACAACCAAGTTTCTGCAGAAAAGTGCAAGGAAAAAAAATAAGTAAAAGATGAAAAGAAATTGAGGACACATAGTAATCAATGGCAGTGTATGGACCTTATCTAGATCCTGACTCAGTTAAAATACATAAGATAATTGGGGAAATGTGAATGCTGACTGAATATTTTGTAACAGTAAGGAATTATTGTCTTTAGATGTGATAATGACATTGTGGTTATATATAAGAAAAACTCATATTTTAGAGGTACATACTGAAATATTTACAGATTAAATTAGGTGAGGTCTGGAATTTGTTTCAAAATAATCTGAGACAGAGGAAAAAAATGGGAGGTATAAATAAACCCTAATTGACAATAAACTGGTAAATGTTGAAGGTGGCTGACAGGAACATTTAAGTTCATTATGCTCTCTACTTTTATCTATGTTTGAAATTTTCTCTAGTAAATTTTTTTAATACGCAATTTCTTTTTATTGGAAGCACAAGACTGAGTCTTAGAGCCACTAATCGGAAGCATCTGCCACATCCTGTTTGGTAGTTATGAACAATATAATGCCTGAGACTCAAAATCTGCTGGATGGTGAAAATAATTTGACATTTCACTTTTAAGATTGGCCAGAAGAAAGAGAAAGCTGCGACATTTGTTTCCAAATTAGTGCTTAAGACTTGCAACCATTAAAACCGCAAACCTATGGGAGTTGATTTTAAGATCAGCTAATGAGCAAACTGTTTCATTTTGTTCTTGGCAAGGTTTGACCTTTGTCAGATTTTTCCTTGCTAATGTTTAAGTTTGTTGACTAGTCTTGTTAATTGCTGGATTTTTTTAAATTTATTTTTATTTTTGTAAGGATATGCTTTTTCACTGATTTTTAGAGAGTGAGGAAGGGTGAGGGAGAGAGAAAAAAACACTCATGTGAGAGAGAAACATTAATCAGTAACATACCCCTCATCCCCATATGTGCCCAGATCCGGGATCAAACCTGCAACCTACGTATGTGCCCTGACCAAGAATTGAACCTGTGAACCATTGGTACATGGGCTGGTGCCACACTGGCTAGAACTAATTGCTGGAATTTTGACTTTGCTATAATGTGTATGTTTTCCCCTTATGCCTGTTAAGGTCCTAAGAGAAACCAAAACAATATCATATATTTTTAAACAAGTTCCTATCACTACCTGTTTTAAAAAGTTTTCCTGGAGGCTCTCAGAGGCCAGTGAGACCACCCCTGGAGTGAGTCATGTGCAAAGGGTCAGACACTCTGGGCTTTCCTTTCTGAACATCTGTCATTTTCCTCCTGAACATCTTCGAAACCAACTTTAGTAGTAGCGTGAAACCTAGCTCAACTCCCTTAATGAACTAGACCTCTTTCTCTAGAGGCCAAAAAACTTGGGGTAGGATGGGTGAAAATGTAAATAAGCTTTAACAAGATAGAAACTGATTAGATCTCAAAGAAAAAACAACAACATTTCTCATAGTTATAGAGTTGCTTGGGCACAGAATAGGGGAAGAATGACAGATACTGAATATTTTCTCTTGTTAAGTCTACTAAGAGGAGGCAGCAGCTTCCTGGTTATTGCATCTCGGAGAGGCCTGCCAGCAAAGGAGGGGAGTCTCAATCCCTTGTGGAGACCCCTTTCCTTTCCAAATCCCGGTCCTCAGTACCAAGATCTTGCATGTACTTACTGCTCTTTATACACCTGGTCCTGTGCCCCAGCGTGAATTCTAGGAAATGTTCTCATCACTGCTGATGACAGGGCAGCAAAACCTCTCCTAAGGAGACAGGACCTCTAACCGGGGTCCCATAACAATCTCCAACATGTTTACAATCATGTGTATGTAGGACACTCAACCGTCTCTTAGGAAAAAGATGAAAGTCCTTGATAGGGTGAATACTTACACTCTAGCTTATCCTGAGGCCTCCCTGTCTCCAGCAGGGACAGGTAACACGCAACATCCTTCAGGTACACTGTCGGGGGCTCAGAACCTAAAGATTGAGCAACAGGGTTTCCCAGGGAGATTGCAGCCCCGTTACCAGGCACTTGCTTCTTGGTGATCTCTGATTCTGTAAGAGGAAAGCATTCGAGGACTCTTAATGTTTAGTAAATATTAAATATTAAATCCTTTTCATGTCAGAGGCAAGAAGTTTATATAAGTATCTTCAAAAGCATTGGTTACATAAATATAATCAAACTGGAGGCCTGGTGCATGAAATTCATGCACTTGGGCGGGGTCCAGCCTGTGCCTTCTTGCAGTCTGGGACCCCCATGATTGATTGTCTTGCAGAGGGAGGCCTCACCCACCTGCCACAGAACCACTGGCAGGGTAGACTGGGCCTCCCTCTTTGGAGTGATTGATCACAGAGCCTCCCTTCTCCCCCATCCCCCCGTGATCAATCACCCTGTAGATGGTGGCCTTGGCCTCCCTCTTTGGGGTGATCATAGAGATCCCCCCCCTGCCCTAGTCAATTGCCCTGCTGGTGTTCCTCTTTGGGACAATTGTGAAGGCCCCCAATTAATCACCCTGCTGGTGGTGGCCTGGGCCTCCCTCTATGGAGTGATTGTGGGGCAATAGTGCCCCCCCCTCGCCAGCTAATCACATTGCATCTGCCTTGGCTGGCCTGGCACCAGTATGTGTCATAGCATGGTCATCCGAATGGTCATTCTGCTGTTTGGCCATTCAGTCGATTTGCATATTACAATTTTATTATTATAGATGAGTGGTCCCAGAAATCCAGTTTGTGGCAATTATACTGACTCTTTGACGTGTCTATATATTTGTAAGCAATTCACCTATACTCTGTGAATTTTCAGAAAAGATGATAGTAGAATGGGGAACCAAGATGGCAGCATAGGTAAACGCCTGTACTTACTGTCTCCCACAACCACATCAAAATTTCAAAATACAGAACAATTATCATCCAGAAGCACTAGAAAGCTGGCTGAATGGAAGTCCAACAACTAGAGAAGTAAAGAAGAAAGCACACTTTTTTAATTGGGAGGGAGATCTGCAGAGGCTGCCTGGAGGTGCAAGGGGTCCCAGCCCAGGGTACCAGAGCTGGGAAAAGAAGTACCTATGGGCAGTTCTATAAAAACCAAAGGGGGTCGAAACTGGTTTGGCTCAGCGGTAGAGCATCGGTCTAGGGACTGAAAAGTCCCAGGTTCGATTCTGGCCAAGGGCATGTACATTGGTTGCGGACACATCCCCAGTAGGGGGAGTGCAAGAGGCAGCTGGTCGATGTTTCTCTTTAGCTCTCTCCCTTCCTCTCTGTAAGAAAATCAATAAAATATATATTTTTAAAAACAAACAAAAAAACAAAGGGGGTTGGGGCTCAGTGACACAGAGGGGGGCAAATTCTTTTCATAGTTGATTTTCTTGCTGAGTGTTTAGAATCTCAAAACTTCCAGTCTTATCTTTTCTTTCTTACCAGGAGAATGATTTGTGTCAGAATATGCCTCCTCTATTCCACATAAGATTTGAGGCTTATTTGTTATTTAACTCCATTTACCCAAGGGGCAATGTATGGCATGATTGGGTGGGATGCTTGCAGGGGGATGAGTGAGCCCATACCTTGTCCCTGAAAGCCTCAGGAAGGCATAGATGCTCTGAGTCCTTGCTCTCTGGAGCTCCATGAGTAACCTGGAATTTCCATTCCCAACCATGTTCTGCTTTCCATCCATAGTAAATTTCTGATTCCCCAGTCTTTCGGTTAAATATTAAAAACTTAATGCTCTTTCTAGTTACTCTTTTTACTATGACAGGGGAGAGTCATACTACTCTAAGAAATTTTTAGATCCTAAGTCCCTGTTATAATTAGTTCTCATTCAGTTGTATTATTTCATATCTATAGAGGCCTGGTGCAAGGATTCATGCATCAATGGGGTCTGTTGGCCTGGCCTGTGAGGATCGGGCCAAAATCAGCACTCTGACATCCCTGTAGGGATCCCAGATTGCAAGAGGGCAGTTCTTGGGTGACGAACCTGGAATTGGGCTCCCTCCTCTCTAGTGCCAGGTGTGCCACCTGAGAACCACAGCAACCAAGTCACCACAGCTCTGCAGCTCCTGCATTGAGCATCTGCCCCCTGGTGGTCAATGCACATCATAGCTACTGGTTCAAAGGTTGGGCAGTCGCTTAGGCTTTCATATATATAGATGTGAAAGATACAATAAAACTGTATTCTGTATTCCCTGGGCACATCCCAAGAGTTGGAACTCATCAATGTGACTCAGTATTTCCCAGACAATAACAGGCCTGTAGAAAATTAGGCCTGATTCTCTGACTCTTTATATTTAATGCCTCAAGAGAAGCTGGAGGAGAGCCTCTGAGAGCCCTTCCATGGCAATAGGATGCCCAATGGATATGCTTGGCAACTGAAGATGCAGGTTAAAGGAGATCTTGGCAGACCATGATGAGTTAAGAGTAAAGAATACTCACCTGAAAGTAATATAATATTGTATGTCAATTGTAATTTAAAAAATCAATTAAAAATGCAATTCTAGAGAGGTGGCCTGAATAATAATTGCTGATATTTATTGAACATTCACTATGATTCAGGTGCTGTGCTAAGCACTTTATACATAAAACTCAAACTCCATGTCAATACATTATCAACTCATGTTACAGATGGGGAAACTGTAGCACAGAGAGATGTTGTAGAAAACAGCAGGAATTTAGGGGTTGGACAATTCTGGATTGAATCCTAGCTCTGCAGGTCATAGAGTGGATTATAAACCGCTAAAGCCTCAGTTCCTTAACGTGGAAGGTGGTATGACTGTGAAGGCTAAATAAAGGAAGTGCCTGGCAAATAGACCTTCAAAACAATGTTAGCTGGCTTCCCTTGCTCCTCCTCTCTTCTTACGCAAACCTGCATTTATGAATGCTGTTGGAATTGAACCAAAGCAAACTCTTACCTTGCTCTCCCCCCTTCCAGCCACCTACTGGTAGCCCAAGAACTGTCACCCAGCCAACCGAGTCCCAGTACATTTGCATGACAGGGGCCCCAGAGATGGAGGCAGACAGGATCTGCTCAGGAGCATACAGTTAGTTACATGGAAACCGAACTGTTGGTTAAGTTTCCCCAGTCTGCCTCAAGAATGAGTCTTCCACCCTCCTCTCCAAATCTCATATTCCAAAGACTTACCCATATCAGGAGCACAGGCCTCATCGGCTTTGGCAGCATTATCCACATTCTGTATATTAGACTCTGAAGAACAAAGAGAAGATTTAGAAGCCAGCCCACACCTCCAGCTTCCTAGAGGGGCCATTAGGGGACCATCCTCGAGGTCTGGATCACCTGTGTCTCTGGATGTCAGCTGGGTTCATGCTTACCTGTTGGGTTTGACTGTGTTTCCCCCATCATAACTCAAGTTTCAAGAAACTGGGACCATACCATATCTTTGCGACATTCCCAGGTTGGTTGCAGCTTGGGCACACTAGCTGAATGTGGCAGCCTTTGCGGAAGGCTCTCTTCTCTCTGTGCTCCTCTTCCCCCATCCTCCCCTCTGCTCCTGAGTGGCAAGAATTATGCCCTGCCCCCTTACTGAGAGATATATCAGGCAGGGCTTCCTGTGAGGTCCAGTAAAGAAAGGAGGTCTGTCCTCCTGTTTTCCAATCATACTCCACAGGGAAATTACTATGCCTGTGGCAAGTGGGTTAGAGCTGCAAAACCTCTCTTCCACAGAATGCTGATCCATGTACCTGGGGCACTGGCCTCACTGTTGCTGGTCCCCTCCTTTGGGTGGTCAGGGACCTCCTGTCTGGGCTTCTGGCTGAAGGCCAGGAAGAGGTGCATGCTCAGTGGCTGGGGCAGGTCCACCTCCAGGTATGCCCTCATGAACAGCTTGAAGACATCATAGCTAATTGTCTGAAAAGGGACAAAAAGGACAAAGTCAGTGGAGAGAGTCCAAGGACAGAGAGGAGGCAGAGAAGGAAAAGAAATCCGGGAGCAAGCTGGCAAGTGAGAGAAATGGAAAGGAAAGTGGAAGGAAGTGGAGGGGTTGGTGGGGGCAGGAATGAAAATGCCAGGAGGTGACAGAGAAGGACAGGCACAGGAAGCAGGTGGGGGAGGTGAAGAGAGAACACTAGAGTCTGCATGGTTTAGTGGGGCAGGGAACCACAGGAGGCTTTTGTAACACATTGCTAAATTTAGGTAGAAAAGGGAGTGATGGAGAATGAGTTCTGGGCGTGGAGGCCCCAGGGCAGGGCTCTGCCTGCATGCAGACCCCTGGGAAGGACTGGTCTCCAATGAGCAAGACCAGGTCAGTGCCCTGGAATCCTAGTTAAGATGAAGCATGCTGTTGAAAACACGGTGGAAAAGAATGGCTTTTCTCTGATATGTCAATTTTCTCCTTGTGCTGTAAGATAATTCCTGAGTATTTAGGTCTTAAAAAAAAAAAGTAAAAATAAAATAAAATAAAATAAAATAGGAAAGAGCTAGGAAAGAAAAGAACAGGCTCCATCCTTTATTTTTTCTTAACTAACCTTTCCTGGACAAACCTCAAGATTAACAGCAGGGAGGGTATGTGTCTGGCTCAGCTACTCTCAAAACATGTCCTTGTGAAGGTTTTAGGTGCCTGGAGAAGAGCAGGAAGCCAAGGACAGAGGGTAGAACTGAGAAACATGCCCCAAACTAGAGCCTCTCCCTGCTGTCTTTCTCCCAGTGCCTCTGGGCTCCCGGGCCCAGGCTGCGAGCGACCATGCCAGGGAGGGCTGCTGCACTCAGCAACACTCAACAACAGTTTGCAGTGAGTCATCACTGGCTCCTGCTTTGATGGCATTAGATTGTTCGTCAAATCGGCAGATGCTCCTGGAGCTCATTTGAGGAAGCATTATTCCAAGATCTGCCATGCAGGCTTTTGTGAATAATAACAGTCATGAGAATAAAATCCCTGGTTGGGATCCTACTTGACTCTCTTCTAAAATGTTGATAGCAATTAACCCTTTATCTCTTCAGGAAGCTCTGAGAGCCTTTCCAGAACCAGGAGCTGGCTTGCCTGGTTACCATCAGGTTTGGGATACAAAGTCTTGGCCTTAAAAACAAGAAATGCTCTCCTGGCCCCATTGGGAAGTCACAGGCAGTTTTCTTCAACCCCAGGCAGAGCTATTCTATATTTCTCCTTTGCAGTTTGGAGGAGACAGGATAATATAGGCTCTTTCCAGATAAATGGATTTCTAAGCAAATGTTGGACACAGCTACCAATCTCTGTCTCCCTCTCAGTCTTTTCGGCCCCTGAGTCTCTGTGTCTCTCTGTTTCATCCACTTTTTGTCTATCTGTGTCTCCACAGCCTTATCAGCACAGATGTCTTTTCCTCACACATCCACCTCTCATTTTCCAGTATGCAAGTGCAAAAACTTTCCCTCCTACTTTCTACTCAGCATGACCTTTGACTCCACTCTCCCTGCCTCTGATGGCATCTCCCAGCATCTGCTTCTCTACTTGCAAGCAGGTTCAAGGTCACCATTCCAAATAAATTGCTGGCTAGTTGAGCTTCTAGCCTGTCCTTCTTCCCTTCCCCTTCAAATTCCTCCAAACAGACCCGGTTAGTCTCCTCACCTGCTTAATCTCATTCGCTTTGGATTCTGGCCCCGCTCTCCTGAAGGTCACAGATGCAGTTGTGGCTTTTATACTTTCTCATCTTTGGCTTCTCTGTAGCATTCCATTCACTTTTCTTTTTGAAATTCTTGGTTTTCCATGGTCTGGTAATATTTTGGTTCTTTTCTTTGATTTGACTAAGTATTTGCTGACAGCACTGTTATTCTTTTTTTTTTTTTAAAGGCTTTTTTTTTTTGCATTGTTTTTTCTTTTGTGCTCTTTCAGTTGACAAGTACTATTTTAAAATGTAGTTTTGAGTTCCAAAATGTCCTGCTAATCTTTTCATTTTTGGTTAGCATCAAATTGAAAACTATTAGCATAAAATATTTCTGGAAAATAGACTGTATAAGTGATTCAATAAAAAGAACATTAAGCAAAGCCTAATTGCAATGCTCTTTAAAAACCAAAGCTGAGACCTGACTGGTTTGGCTCAGTGGATAGAGCATCAGCCTGTGGACTGAAAGTTCCCAGATCCGATTTCAGTCAAGGGCATGTACCTTGGTTGTGGGCACATCCCCAGTAGAGGGTGTGCAGGAGGCAGCTGATCAATGTTTCTAACTCTCTCTCCCTCTCCCTTCCTCTCTATAAAAAATCAATAAAATATATTAAAAACAAACAAACAACAACAACACTCCCTCCAAAACAAAAAACAAAACTAAAAAGACCACATAAAAATAAAAACCAAAGCTGTCAAACAAGGTCAGTGTGAGATTTAGATCTTTTGGCTGGTTCTCCTTTCTTTTAAACTCTGTTTCTGAGTGCTGGGCTAGGAGACCTCAAGTTCTAAACCTTAATTAGCTTCCTCCCTAAACCAGTTCCTCTTCCAACAGTTTCTGTTAATATTAATAATGCCATCATTTTTCCAACATCCCATGCTCAGCTTTCAACTCCCAGCAGTTTGAGATTAGTTCTTGTCTCTCCCTTCTGTCTGCTGTTCTTTTGCAATGTCTGTCACATCCAGGTCTGCTTGTGTCCATTGCCCATCTACCACCAACCTGACAAGGGGGCCATTGAAGGCCCCATTGACCTGGATTTCAGACTTCTGTTGCACGTATCCTACCTGCACTGTGGCAATACCTCTCAAAGGCTTCCTTACGTCCACCTCCATCTGCTGGCCTCCCATCTTATCCTTCCTTGCCAGGTTGACCTCCTGAAGCAGAGTGCTTCCTTACTCAGAAATCTCCATGGCTTCTAATTGCCCATAAGAGAGTTGAGATAGGTTGTCTCCAAATTTTTAAAATTATGCGTGCCTCCATAACATTTTGAAGCAAACATTCCATTTATCTTTACTTATAAATTATGTACATGTACTATGTGCTCCTCTATTTCACTCTATAAATCATTCACAAAAAAGAAATTAGATGAAATAAAGATCGATGTAAATAGAAGGTCTAACATGTAGTGTTTCCACAGTACAGTGATCTCCTCTGCACTCCCTAAGTCTGGGATTTACAGCTCTCCAATAATCCCACTCCAACCTAGATCTGTAGTGACTTCAAGCTCTGAGACCATTCTGGTCTTTTCTCATATTAGTGCCTTTGTATACCTCCACATGCTTTCTATTCAGATCTCTGTGTTCTTCTCTGGCCAACCTTCCATGTGCTTTGCATGAACTGTTTCTGTCTCTACCTGTTAAAATTCTAGCTATCCTTTAAGGTCTGATTCATATCCCACCTTCTCCAGGGGCCCTGGCATGACCTCCTGCACCTGAATTGCTGTACTTTTCTACCTTGATTCTGTTTTGGGACACTCATATCTGCTGCCCTCTATTAATATATAGTTGTCTGTGATATACCTTTGTTCCCTGACAAGATGTAGAGATCCTAGAAGGTAGTGAAATGTCTTATTTCATCTCTGTTTCCCCATTACTACCTAACAGTGTTTCCTGATGGGTATTATAATAATTGCTGGATTCCTAATTGGTATGGTTGGCTGTCATCAATTATTGTGGGGTCCATTCATGTATAAATTGAGTCTCCTAAGTATACTAGTAAGACAGTGCTGGACAGCACTGAGGAACACACCAATGAGTTAAGCATGGTCCATGCCTTCAAGAGATTCAGTCATATGTATTTATATATATATATGGTAAAGATATTGAAATAATACTAAAACAGGTCAACAGTGGTGAGTACCATATGAAAAGAATGAACAAAGTGCTTCAAGAACTTAGAAAACAATAATGAATGAACACATGTTCTATTATTTATGTTCCTATCCCACAGAAGAGGGTGGTATAAAATAAACATGGAAACACAGAGCATTCACATCAAAATAGTTTAGATGAGACTAGATCTTTTTACACCACTGAGGCCTAGAAGTTCAGTGATTGTACCTCTCCCCCCCCAACCCTATCCCCTAGCTAGTGGCAGAGTTAAACCAGAAGCCAGATCTTCTGACACCTAGTTCAGTGCTCCTGTTACTGTATCCACCACAGGTCCCAGTGCTGACATCTGTTTCCTGCCATTCCCTCTAGACACCCCAATTTCAGTAGGCAAGAAATGTGACTGTGCCATTGTCAAAATGATACTTGGATTATGAGAGAATAGGATCTTTACGAGCACAGGCCAGATTCAGAATAACTGTTAGTCAATATCTCTGATGGGTAGGGAAGTGGCTAGGCACTACATCTGAACCAGATAACTAATTGCTATGAGGCACATTGGCAATTCCCTGGAGTAATAACATAGCTTCTGACATTGTTCAAGCCTATTAGCCACCCCACCAAAAAAATTCCTGCGACTTTCATGTAAGGTCTGATCCATATGCCATAGAGCTGGGCAATTGCTACTACAACCTGTGTAAGGAGAGTGTGTTCATTCTTACACTGGTTAAGATGGGAGGGGAGCTAGATGGAGAGTTTACCATGCATGAGGCACTTTACACGCATTGTAAACTCTCCCTTAAGTCCAAAAACAATAGTGGGAGATGGGACTGTTATTGCTGTTTGTGGATGAAAAAAAAAATTCTGAGACATAAATAACTTGCTCAAAGTCATAAAATGATGTCAGAACTGATATGTGTATCGGTGTGTATCAGTTTTAGGTCACAATACCACCAAGCCATCATGTCTCTTTTGTTTCGATGCTCTTGTCCACTTCTTGACTGTCTTCAGCTGCATTCTGCTCTCCAGAGAACTACACAATGCCGATGGTCCAGGGCACACTGCACATGGCCAGGTGCTGCCCTGCCACTCTACAGACTTTTATTCCCCACCTCGCTCTGCTAGTCACCTGACCCTTCTGACAGCTAGCTTGTTTCTTGTGGAGACATTTTAGCAGCAGTAAGCCATCAAGCTTAAGAGAAATTAAACCCTGTTGTTTCCCCAACCCCATGCCAGGACATTACACCTATTAGAAGTCAGACACACTGTGAAAGGGAATGAAATCAGAGTGACAGAATTCCCCTGGGACACAGCAGTGCTGCACATACAAAGAGTGGGGGCCAGCAGGATGGCGGAGGGGGCGATGAGAGTGCTCATAACAGCTGAGCTGCCACTCCCTGCTTCTGAAAGCTCCTGTGGCCTTCACACTCTGGGTGGCCCTGAGCAAATTGTTCCCCTCCCACTTGCCAGCTTCAGGGCAGACAGGCTGATTAGCAGCCCCCGCTAGGCTTTGTTCCCGTGTTTTTGGAGCTGGGCTGGGAGTGGAGGGGGTGTGAGGGGGGGAGGCTGAGAGTTCTTTATTGGCTCTGCCATCTTCCCCGCATGGCTTCTCTTCAGGAATGTCTTTTGAAATGGTGCATACTCAGTCTTGTTTCAGTTCCTGCAACTTTCCTCTGGCATTCTTCTCTTGATGATGGGTGCATTTTATCCAACGTCCCTCCCAGATGTACCTGGAGAGCATGGGCTCTATGGATTCCTGCCCAGTGCCCAGCAGAGATGTTGACTCAAAGTTTGTTGAAAGATTGACAATATAAATAAGTGACCTTTCCTCAAGTTTGCCTGACTGATGGGTCACTTTTCCACAACTGGCCCTCATAATAGGAACCAGGAACGGGGAAAAAGGAGTTGAGTTGAAAACATTCTGGGGTACGGGGATAGAAGGGGAGCAGTGACGGGTAACCTTTTTCAGTGTCCTGTCGAAACTTTAGACACTTTGCAAACATTATCTCATTTAATCTACTATCTGCAAACTTCAAGGTCCTTTTTGTTGTTATTGTTATCTTCAGGTCACAGATGAAACACTGAGTTTTTCAAAGAGGTAAAATACTACTCAAGGCCACATTGCTGGTTGGCAGCAGAGGTAAACCCCATGTAAGTCCTGGGCGATGATTCTTAAACTTGACCCTGTCAGTAGAAAGTAAGTTGCAGAATAGAGAAATTGTACTTTTTCATCTTTAGATGTTCTGCATGCCTGGATGTTCAAGAAACATTAGATGAGTTGAATTTGAAAGTGGGAGAGGCATTGCATTCCTTCACTTATTCAACAAACATTTGCTGAGTGTCTGCTATGTGTTGAATACTCGTCTGGGCCCCTGAGACACAGCAGTGAACAAATAAGTGTCTATACAGAGATAGATAAATAAGTGAGTTACATAGTGGGCCAGATGGTGAGAAGTACTAAGGAAGAAAAAGAGGTAGAGCAGGGGGATAGAGAAGGTGATATTCACTAAGAAAATTACTTGGGCCAACGCTTGAGGTGAGAAAATGAACTATGTGTTTATCTGGGGTAGGAACATTCTAGGAAGAGGCAAAAGCAAGTGCAAAGGTGCTAAGGTTAGGGCGCTTGAAGCTGATTTGACAGCATGAAGGAGGCTAATATGGCTAGAAAAGAATGAGGAGAGGAGAATAGCTAGAGATGGGGTCATAGCAAAGGGGGAGCTGCAAATTGTGGTGATCTTGACTTTTATTCTGAGTAGTGGTTGTGGGAGGGGGGATCATGGGAGATTGTTGACAGAGCAGTGACATGATCTGACTTAGGTTTTAACATATTGCTCAGGATATGTGTGAAGAAGAGACTTTAAAAGTCAAGAGCAGAAACAGGGAGTCCAGTTAGAAGACTACTGCAATAATTTGGGAAGAATATGGTGATGACTCAGGCCAGGGTGGGAGCACTGCTAGTGGTGAGATGTGGCTAGATTTGGGGTATATTTTAAATGTAGAAGTGCCAGGGTTTGCTGGCCAATTGAATGTGGGATGTGAGAAAAAGAGAAAAGTCAATGATGACTTCATAGTTTTAGGCTGAATAACTTGAAAAATGAAATTGCCATTTGATGAAATGGGAAGATTGCTGGGAAGACAGGTTTTACAGAAGAAGATCAAGGAGCTTAGTTTAGTGCATGTTAAGTTTGAGATACTTATTTGAATTTTAAACCAGGAGGAAAACTAGGAGACTGTGGTATCCTAAAAGCCAAGTGAAGAAAGTGGAAGAGAATTTGGCCACCCATGTCCAAATATACTTTACTCAACCAATTCTGTTGAGTAAAGTAAGGATTGAGTTTAGCCACATGGAGATCCTTGGTTTTATAGGCTAGTGGTTTTAGATGGTGGGTAGGGGCTACATGCTGATTGCAAAGCTTTGAAGAATGTGGGAAGAAGAGAAACTGAAGGCAATGAGTACAGACAAATCTTTTGCACAGTAAATGATTTCCAATAAAGGACAGGAAGGAAATGAAATAGTAGCTAGAGGGAGAAGTGGAATCTGAAGAACATTTTCAATATAGGAGAAATATATTTATGAGAAAAACAAAATATATAGAAGAATCTGATGTGAAGGAGATAGAGGTAGAAATATATAGAAGATAGATAGAAGATAGATAGATAGATAGATAGATAGATAGATAGATAGATAGAGTTGCTGAAGCAATGCCTGTCAATAGATCAAAAGAGGATAGGATTGAGTGCACAGTAGAGGGGTTAGAATTAACAGCATTGAGATTTCATTTCTTATTACAGGAGAAAAGGTATGTATGTGAGTAGAGATCTTATGGAAGATCTCTTCTGACTACTTTCATTAAAAAATTTATATATAAATATATATATTTCAGAGAGAAAGGGAGAGGGAGAGAAAGATAGAAACATCAATGATGAGAGAGAATCATTGACCAGTTGTCTCCAGCATGCCCCTTTCTGGGGATTGAGCTGGCAACCTGGGAATGTGCCCTTGGCTGGAATTGAACCCAGGACCCTTTAGTCCATAGGCCAACACTCTATCTACTGAGCCAAACCAGCTAGGGCTGTTTCCATTTTTTCATAAAGCAGAAAACATAGTGGCTCTCAGTTTTTCTAGGATAAAGCATAATCCCCTTATCTTAATATATAAGTATGTGGTAACCTAGTCTATTTAATTCTAACCTTAGCTTGCCACTTTTCAGCCACACCAAACCAAATATCCAGAAATCCCTGAATAAACTGTGTACTCTTTATGAGGAGGAATAAAAAATAAGAGGTTTGAGAAGAGAGAAGGTATGATGTGGTTTATAGGACAATGAGAGGGTGAATGGATGTGGGAACTGTATAATTCTAGGTAGCACTAATAACTCACTTGAGACAGGAAAAAATATGTTGAGAAACAAGTTCTTCAATGTGAACTACACTTCTAACAGGAGAACAAATTGTAGAAAGCTGTATTATGAAATTTTTAAAGGCTTCAAATGGAAATTTCCTTACCTCATGTGAGTCACATTGTTTGAGGCTTCCACTCTCATTAAATTCAGCCAAGACATCCTTTATCTTCTTAGAAGAATCTGGAGAAACAGAGTCCACATGTGAAACACTGGTGAACAGCTGGTGGGAGATGGGCCAAGTAAATTCTCCCTGTCTAACCTTGGTTATGATGGAGCAGTGCCTCATATCCAGGACCATACAGATAAATGTCACCCTATCCTCCTGCCCTCTCATTTCTTTTTTCTTTTCTTTTTTTTCATTATATTCTCTCTCCTATTTTACTAAAACACAAGTCTAATCAGGCTATGCCCCTGCTCAAAAACCTTTCAGTGGCTCTCAGTTTTTCTAGAATAAAACATAATCCCCTTATCTTAATATATAAGTATGTGGTAACCTAGTCTAAGGTTAATTCTCACCTTAGCTTGCCATTTTTCAGCCACACCAAATCAAATACCAGAAATACCAGTACTCTTCATGGTATTTTTATGCATTGCAAAGTTCACTCAATTCTAAGTGCCAAGCTCAAATATCAGCTCCTTTGTAAAGCATTTTTTTTTTTTTTTTTTTTTTTTTTTTACCAATCAGTTATTCCCTCCCATGGTTCTCAGGTGACTTATACATAAGTCTATAATAGCACTTGTCATATAGTGTTATAATCATTATTAACTTGTCTATCTTGCCCATATCCTGCCTTAGTTCTACACTAAAAGCTGTGATAGCCTAGTGAGTCTTTATATGTCATACCAAAAACATTTGAACAAAAATTTTAAAACATTTAAATTTTTGTTAATTATAATTAGGATGGGTGGGCATTAAACCCCGTGATACTCTGTCCTTGGTGCTGAAATGGGGACTGGGGATTCATGAAAAATAGTGGTTTAGAATATTCTGCTTTCCATAGGAAATAAATCAGAACCTACTGAAAAAATGGGTAGATTCTTTTGGTGGAAAGGTTTACAAAGAAATTAGAAGTCAATAAAATAGAATCTATAATTGTTATTATAAATACATTCTGAATGCATCCGGTATAGTTACCAATACTCTAGATATTGAAGAAAACCAGGTTTTCTATGCTATCCCTGTTTTGCAGTATTCTGGATAGGTAAGAGCTTTTTAAGCTCCACTGATGCCACTATTTAGACATTTGAGTAAAGGACAATGTCATTAGAAGGTGACACAGTGTTCCTTGGTGTTCAGGCTCTTTGTACCAGAGGGCTATGCTCTCTTAGGCCTGTGTAAAGTAGACATGCTCATGGGCTGAGCTGTTCTCCATGGCATTGCTGATTTGGATTCAATCAAGCACAAATTATAATCATTTCAAGATTGAGACATATTGAAATGCCACAGGAAAATGCTGCTGATGCCTAAAAATGGACATTCTTTCTGAAAGTCAAAACAGATGTTGAAACACTAATAGCTTAGTGAGATCCAGGCAGCAGATGCCATTGGTTTGGACTGCTTCCATTCAATTTAGAAAACACTTTGGAGAATAAGATGCTGTAAGGTACCGTTGATGAATTAGTCAGGGAGATGATCTGAACCACTGTGGTAATAATAGGTTTCCTTTATTGGAGACCTTTATTGCATATTATCATATACTATCCCCTACCAATCCATACAAATTTGGTAATATTTTCTCAATTTACTGATGAAGAAGCTGCAATTCAGAAAAATTAAGTCACTTGTCTAAGAATCAGGGTTTTAACTTCGGTCTAGTCTGACTCAAAAGTCTATATTACTTTTCCTTAAGTAAATATTGCTTCCCAAACATTTGTTAACACAAGGAAAAGTATAATTGATGCATTAGCAATAATATGAAGCTCTAGGAAGCATGCAGCAGAAGAAGTAAAATGAGTGGGAAGGAGGTCAAAGTAGGATGCTAGTGGTGTTTGGAATGAAGACTGGGGATACCCTTGAAGAAGGTATCATTTGAGCTGGGTTGTAAAGAATGCATAGGTTTTGAAAGGCAGATGTAAGGTGTAAAGGGTATTTACAGAAAGGACAGGGCATAAAAATGTGTAGATGGGCATCACAGGACATTAGGAAAAGTTAAAACCAGAGAGTAGTTTCAGGACAGATTTGTGGGGGCCAGATTTGAATACCAAGTTAAGAACATTGATTTAAAACTGTTAAAATTTGTTTGGGTAGGGGGAAAATATAACTGGGTCTCTGTTTCCTAAAGGCCACTCTGGCAACCAAATGGGAGAGAGTTTAAAATTAGGCCAGAGCTCAGTTAACAACATACGTAAATTATATTCAAATTATCTTGTGAGAAGCTTAATTATTTTTTTAAAACCTCTATATTTTAGACTATATTTTAATGGCAGATTTTCAGCTCAGCCAGAGTGGCCAAATTAATAAAAGTAAATTTTGGAGCATGGATCCTCTTGGTGTGAGAGTAGTATAAAACCAGTATTTTGATTGAGGACAATATATTTATTTGAGAACAATATAGTAATATATTTTATTGATTTTTACTGAGAGGAAGGAAGAGGGATAGGAAGCTAGAAATGTCGATGAGAGAGAAACATCAGCCAGCTGCCTCTTGCACACCCCCTACTGGGGATGTGCCCGCAACCAAGGTACATGCCTTTGACCAGAATCGAACCTGGGACTTTTCAGTCTGCAGGCTGACGCTCTATCCACTGAGCCAAACTGGTTTTGGCTGGACCTCACTTTTGATGAGGCCTTAAGCAACACTCCTGTATATCTGTGGCTAACTAGAAAAGCTTGCCTGTCACAACACAGAAAAATCAACAACAAAACAAGCAAGCAAACATGATGAGGAGGCTAGAGGAACATATTCTACAGATTGAGAAGACCATAAATGACTCTGCATCCATAGAGGGAAGACACAGGAGCAAGTTGGTACATGAGAAAAAAACACAAACAATTAGATTTTCCTTCTTCTTGTGAAGGCTGAGATGTGTAAGTTTTCTAAGTACTCCAGGGAGTCAAGAACATAGTGAGATGCACAAAAGCAAGAATGGGCTTTTCCAGGAGTCCTGGGAAGACATACGCCAGGGCTAAGAGCACTGGCTCCCCAGGCCCACCTTTCTATCCAAGATGAATGGGCCTAGAGCAGAATGTGGAAGTATGTGTAAGAAGGTCCAGCTTCATAAGCATGGGCACCTCCCAGTTACACCTCTTTTCCCATTCACTGCTTATCTCTAGCATGTAGCCCATTGCCTGGAATAACATTGATGCCCCATAAAAATTTGTGAAATAAATGAGGGCTGAAAAAGGGATTGGGTTTGTCCTCTATTCCCAGGGGCGTAGGGAGAAAAGGTAGACCAGTGGTTGTCACCTTGGCTGCATGTTAGAATCATGTGAGGAGCTTTAGACACCACCAACACCTGGGTTCGATGCCTACAGATCATGATTAAACAGTCCAAGGGTGCAGGGTTATTGGGATGTGGGAAGGACATTAGAAGTGTTCAAAGCTTCCCATGTAGTTGAAGACTGAGTACCATTGAGACCCACCAAGCTAACAACTTGGGGAAACCTGTTGAAGTGATGTTTCTGCCACAGTATTATCTAAAATTATAAAAGCGTAATATGCTAATTAGACCAGATGTTCTTTCATAAGAAGCTGGGGCTGTGAGGGAAGCCCAGGTTGGTCCTGGGTGCCAGAGGGAAGCCGGTGCAGGCAGCCAGGAGGAACGAAGGCCTATTCTTGCACCAATTTCATGCACCGGGCCTCTAGTATATAGAATAAAAGAAAAAGACTTTACATTGGAGCAAAGGAAATTTTGGCTGAAATAAGAAAACCCTCTTTAGAATACTAAAATTTTCTGATTCATCATAAGTGATCTGAATGACTAATATGGCTTATTTGTATAAGTAGAGTTTGTATTGCCAACAAAATTTCCCCTTTTCTCCAAATAATTTGGCCTCATCAATCATATTTCAGGTGAATGTGGAGAAATGGATCAGACAACTTGTACTTTCTTGTAACTAAAATTGTGATCTCTGTATCACCAGCATCAGCATGGCCTGGGAGCTTGTTAGAAATACAGAATCTGCCTGACCAGTGTTGCTTTGTGGTTGAGTGCTGACTTATGAACCAGGAGGTCATGATTGGATTCCAGGGCAGAGCATATGTCTGGTTTGTGGGCTCAATCATCAGTGGGAGATGTGCAGGAGGCAGCCGATCAATGATTCTCTCTCATTATTGTTTCTATCTCTTTCTCCCCATCCCTTCCTCTCTTAAATCAATGAAGGAAAAAGAAAGAAAGAAAGAAAGAAAGAAAGAAAGAAAGAAAGAAAGAAAGAAAGAAAGAAAGAAAGAAAGAAAGAAAGAAAGAAAAGAAATGCAAAATCTCAGAACTACTCCAGACTGATGATTCAGAATCTGCATTTTAACAAGATTTCCAGGAGATCACACACACACATTCACATTTTACAACCATTGTTCCATAGAAGTCTTCCCTTATCCATAGATTATGTTACTGCTTGAGGTCAGAGTCCGAGTTATCACTAATAAAGAGAGTCAGTTATGTGAAAAAGATGTGGGTAAGAATGAAGTGGTTATCCCTTCCAAGATGGAAGCAAGTGGACATGGCCAATTAAACAGCAAGGTTTCAGAGAAACTCAATTAGAGTTTCACATTGTTCTACAAATCAGTCCTAGACATTTTCTCTGGCTTCCATATTCACACTGACAGGTTTGAATTTTGAGTGCAAATTACATACTTCTAAAAGTCAGATACTTTGCCTTGCCTTGATAGGAGTTGAATGAAATATATTTCTGAATAGCATAATGTACTGATTCATTCTCTTTAAATGTATTTTAAAAAATTGTTCTATTGTAATTGAATTGATATCTATATTAAGCAATGTATGGTTGAGATTAGACTCCAATGAATACTTTTCTGTTTAATTTGTTAGAACTAAATTGAAGTAAATTGCATCTGACCTGGGATTGAGAATTTTGGTTCTAATTCTTATTCTGACACTGACCTTCTAGGTGATCTTGGGCAAGTTACTGGGGTCTTCAGAACTTAATGTTCTCATTTGTATAATAGATAGAAGTTGGATTTAATGATGGCTAAGATGTCTCCAAATTTAAAAGATCTACA